GGTGATTAAAGGGCTTATGATAATATTAGCTCTAGGTCTTACGGGCTTGTGACGAAATACCCGTTTTGTATTTCGAATACTGGCAAGAGAGTACGTCGTAGTAAGCCTATCAAATTTTCAAACAAACTTTAACTGTTCATAATATTACGATATCGGTTTCCCAAATTTAGATATAGAATGTCACAAACCATATCATTTATACCATTTGATAGCTTACCTCGTACTGATAGAGGATTTCCTTGTCAGTCAAATAAAACTGTCCAGGGAGCATGGGTGTCGATCCCGGGGGGGGGGGGGGGGGATGGGGGGATATATCCCCCCCCCCCCCAATATTTCAGGTGGGGGGATTGCCTGTACAATCATCCCCCCCCCCCCAATAATTCACCATCAAAAAAAAATAAAAAATGAAGAGAAAAATTAAGGATGAGAGCCCGATGAGAGTAGTAAATGGTTATTACTCGCAAGATGACCATCAATATACACATTTTGCTATCTCATTTTCATAATACATACATATATCCGAAGTAAATAAGATAACCGTATATGAGACAAGAATAAATTGAATTCTCGCTCATACGGCTTCATCAGGAATTGATGAATTTATTCAATTTGTTCAATCAACAGCATCATAGAAATGCAGTGCGCCAAATGCAAAGACGCAGCGTCAAAAAGCAACGAGCTAAATGTTAAGCGCGAAGCGCAAAAATAGCAATCTGCAATGCACATCAGACAATCCTGGACAGTGTAAACATAGATGAACTCTGTGACGATTTCGTGATGAGATCGGAGACAAGGAGAAAGATTTTCGGACATTAGTATAACTTATAAAATAGTTCTCTAGTTGTTATGTTGTTTCCGTTTACGCTTTTTAAAATTCACGTCATTGTATCTTTATTTTTGTTATTTCCTAAAAGATTTTTCATTTCTGGAGAAAGATTATTATGTCACAACTTATTTGTAACACAAATTATTTTCAGTGGGGAAACTGAATTCAGACAAGGATTAATATAAAGAACAGAACAACGAATCGTCTTCTTTCTCTAATAATTCAGTGAAAAGGGGAAAGCTGTTAGGGGGCAACTAAATTCAGAATTGGATTAAGCGTAATAATCAAATGAAACGTCAAAGTACACGATACAACGAAGCGTCTTCTTTTACGAATAATTTAATGAAACGTGAAAGCTTCCGCGCGAATGGGCGAAAATAAATACAGACAAGGATTAAGAGTAATAATTTATTGAAACGATAAAGCTTCCGCGCTTCGCGCGGTAGGGGGGAAACTGAGTTCATGAAGGACACGATACAACAAATCGTCTTCTTTCACTAATGTGAAAGCTTCCGCGCTTCGCGCAGGAATGGGCGAAAATGAGTTCAGACAAGGATTAAGAGTCGAGAATGGAACATAGGATCGTCTTCTTTCTTTAATCATCTAATGACACATCAGAGCTTCCGCGCCACGCGCGGGGAAGGGGGAATTTGATTCAAACATTAAGGATTAAGAGTCGAGAATGGTACATCGAATCGTCTTTTCTTTAATAATCTGATTAAACGTCAGATCTTCCGCGCTATGCGCGGAGGAAGGTGAACTTGATTCTAGCAAGGATTAAAAGTTGAGAATGGTACATCGAATCGTCTTCTGTCTTTAATAATCTAATGAAACGTCAGAGCTTCCGCGCTACGCGCGGAGGAAGGGGAACTTGATTCAAACAAGGATTAAGGGTCGAGAACGGTCCAACGAATCGTCTTCTTTTTCTAATAATTTAGTGAAACGTCAAAGCTTCCGCGCTCCCTGGACGCAACCCCCTAGGGACCACGCTTCGCGTGCTCACTACCGCCCCTTAAAGGTAATACAAAGTTTTGGGAAATTTTGAAAATTGGATGGATAGTGAATCTTTACAATTTTGATATATTTGGATGCCCCTGTGGATGTATTATAAGCACTAGAAAAATTAGCCCCTAAAACTCTTCTGCTTTTGAGAAAAATGGAATATAAAAATTTACCGGTGCTCCCGGTAAATTTTGATAAATTTCAAATAGCGCCTATGGCCGTACAATGGTAGCTGCGACCATGAAAATTTCAGAATATGTAGTTGTGATATATAATTTCCAAACGGGAATAGCTAATCGGTCAATTTTAGTCAAGAAACATTGTTTCATAGCTAAATTAATATCTTGACCTTGAGAGGGAGCTATACAACATAAAGATTTTATTATTTATAATTTCATAGACTCGATTTCAACCGCGACAACGATCAATTAATATTGTAGGAACGCATATGCTTCCAATATGTTAATTTGAACCAAATTCATGACCCCATACCAAAACTTTGTAATACCTTTAAAATGAAATCCTGGCTACGCGCTTGGGAGGGGTGCAACTTGCCATACGCTTCTACCTCTTGATTGCTTTGATCCATTGCCGAAAATATTTTGGCACTTATCATCCCCCCAACCACGGATTCAAATCGACACCCTTGCCAGGGAGTGTTTCATAAAGAGTTCGTAAAGTTATGCATGACTTTACGAACGATTTATATATGAAGTGCCAGATAGGATGCCCAAAGTTTTTTCTGATATTTCCAATAACCTCAATTAAAATTATGGCAAAAAATATACTTTGCATTAATAATGGTTATTATAATAAGAATGTTAATCTACATCTGCACAGTTCAACTTAATAAATAATAATAAATAATGATTGAGCATCCCATTTGGCTTTTCATATACAAGTCGTTCGTAAAGTCATGCGTAACTTTACGAACAGCTTTATGAAACACCCCCCTGGTCACCTTCTAAGTTTTCGACCTATCTCCCGTTCACTGCAACAGCCAGAGAGAAACTAGGACGGGGTTTATAGGTTCATTCGGCCACAAACGAGTTCCATCTGGTAGTGCATTATTATCCGGTGGCGTAGCTAACAATAATAATAATGATAAAAACGGTGCTTATAAAGCGCTTACCACCGAAGTCTCTAAGCGCTATAACAAACAAAACACAATGATAAACAATTACATATTAAACAAAACAAAAATTAAAAATAAGCCTACAAATTACAATATATATTATGAAATATAAATCAACGTGAACAGAGTAAGTTATACATCAAGAGCAATTTTTCTAACGGGGTATGATTTTTGCTGCTTGGCTACTTGAGACTTTCTTGCATGGATATGCATCGTCAAACTATCTTTCAAACTCAAATATATTTGTTTTTGTTTGAGTTGGGGCGCTCCTAGATTTATTATTTTTGGCAGATAGAATAATGATGATCATTATTATAGCAACCCACCTTGGGGTGCGTTCGCTATAAATGGATGTATACCAATATCTCAATATTCACTTGAAAAAGGATAGCAAAATAAAGTTATGGTGTTACAACCGTCGTGTCTAGTTCGTAAACACATGCGTCGCATTCCAAACCTAAACAAACGACCTGACACGACCCTACCCTACATCCGACCTAAAATCACTATTTGTTATAGCGTGTTTTCCTTGTATATTTACAAAAAGTTTCGCAATTTCCCCCACAAAGCAGTATATTGGGGCCAAGTTAAACAGAAATCAAGCAATAAAACCACTTCAAACAGACGAGTCGAACTAATAAAAACAAAGGCTAACAAAATAAGTGAGCTGTCAAAGGTTCCTTGAGCTTTCATGATTGTTATGTATGGCAGTCTTCAGGTTAGGTACAGCTTGTTCCAAAATTTTGCAACAGCCAAATGGATCGAAAGCAAACTCTCCAGTCTCCAGCACGCTTCTTGGAAATGGGGCCAAGTTTAAACCTGTATAGAAGATGAAGAACGTGTAAGACGGTTTTGAGGGAGACGCACCAGGCAATCACTGATTTTATTATGGACAATACCCATCAGTATAGAGGGGGGCGGGTGCTATGGGCTCAATCCCTCCAAAAGGACCACCAGGCCCCTCACCCCGGCTCTCTCTCTCTCCCGAAAATAAAAAATTCTTTATCTATCAAGAAGTAAAATCCTATTATCTCAACTATTTTACGAAAAGAGGTACGAAGATTGCATTCTCATGAAAGAGAAGCCAGACGTGTAGTTTATGACCTGCCCCCTCGTGAATAAAATTGTTGCCTAAATATTTACAATTTTGGCATATTCCTGGCCCCTTTTTTAGGATAAGCACCTTTCAAATGATTTACAATTCTGTATGATGTATCATAGTTCAGGGACCCATTTCACAAAACTTGTCACCTTTGACAAATGACAGTTTTTGTTATAAGCTATAGTGAAATCCTTGTTTCTGATTGGTTATCAGCAGATTTGTGACTGATTCTGGAAATTTGGCATTGGAAAAAGGCTTTGTGAAACGGGTCACCGAACGGCGGAATAAAGGAGAACTATTCATAATAACATAACTTCATAAAACAAATATAGCGGGAAGTTTGTAGGTTATAGGAGGATTTATGAGTGAAATGGGTGAAAGCTTGTCCCGCTTAGCAATTTGAAATGCAATCCTGTACCTTCGCAACAAACATCTAGAATAAGTTATCATACTGTTCCCCCCCCCCCCCTCTCTCTCTCTCTCTCTCTCTGTCTCTCTTTCTCTCCCCCACCCTCTCTCTCTCTCTCTCTCTTTCTCTCTCTCTCTCTCTTTCTGTCTCTCTTTCTCTCTCCCCTCTCTCTCTCTCTCTCTCTCTCTCTCTCTCTTTCTGTCTCTCTTTCTTTCCCCCTCTCTCTCTCTCTCTCTCTCTTTCTCCCTCTCTCTCTTTTCTCTCTCTCTCTCTCTCTCTCTCTCTCTCTCTTTTTACCACATTCTAACTCAATATTCAGAACTTGAATGTTCTGATACAATTTTTATTTCAGCAGGACAACAGTTTATGTGTAATCTGCAATTAAATTGAGTAATCACATAATTACCCTTGTCTAATTAAACATTATCTGCATTAGTATCAATTACCTGTGCTTTCCATGACAGACAGCTTTCTGCGTAATCGAAAGGAAATCGTCGTCATCCCTTACGGAAAGATCCAATTAGAATCTATAGGGGGTCCAAAATATGCCCGGTATCGTGATCTATAGCTGTCAATGGTCTTTAAAGTTTAGTTTACAAATCCCTGCTCTGTCCGAACTCTCACTTCTTTCCTTCTTCTGTTCAGTTGCAGTCGACATATATCATTGCTTGTGAACCATTTCGCTTGAAGAACAAAATCAGGTGAGTACATCTTATCATTATAATAAATGCGTCATCATCAACATCATCGGAAAGAATTCGCTGCAGACATAGCAGGAATTGACATGGATTATAACTTCACAATCTAGTCATTTAACATTCGAAGGTATTTATGTTATTGATTATTTGGAACTTGTTTCATTTGGTGTTTAGTCTTTAGAGCTTACCTTGAGCTCTGGTATGTGAATCATAATATGTCGAGAGAACATGACTATATTCATTCTGGATTGTTTGAACCAGTAAAATAAAACCTATAACTGACAAAACCTGCTGGAAATCATCTTAAATAAAAACCACAACTCTCATTTGCACATGGTGTTGGGCCTATACGTTATATTACCTTGATTTCCTTATCTTTCTTTGCTCATTATTCAGCCCCTATACATTTTCTATCAAAATCGTTTGGCACATGTCATGTATTTGTAATCTTGAACATTCAGTGTAAGTTATGTTGGATTCTGTGAGAATTTATTTTCTAACATTACCAGAAACTCAAGCTTATATCTTTAAGTTATTTCTTTCGGCTCTTAACATTTGTTTTAGGCACTCCTATAAAAGAAATTGTCTGTTAAGCAAAAATGAAAGTAAGCTGAAAATCTTACATTTTGAGGACAGATTTGTATTTAATGCATTCAAGGTGTGCCACTATGGGCATATTGGTGCAAGGCAGTGGCGGATCCAGGGGAGCCGGGGGCCCAGGCCCTCTCCCCTGTGAAAAACAGGTAAAAACACGTTATTTTTACCTTTATTTGGAGATGGGCCTCCCCTGGTGCTCAAGGGGGGGGGGGGGGGCGGTGCGATTTTCAAATTTTCGAGGGCAAAAAATATTAAAAATAGTGCTCACTGTCACCCTCGTAACCCTATATAATAAAATGGAATGGAGTGCAAGGATGATCAGTCTCTTTTTGTCAGTCGTACAATTCTCACCATGGTACGGTACAATTATTGACCTTCGTCCCTGATCTTGGTCGATTCAAAACAGCATGAAATTAAACGGATATGGTGGATTTTGAATTACGGATATGTATCCATATCCGATCAAATATAGCAAGGCCGAAACGATGTTTGTATCCCGCTATTTTAAATCATAAATTGTAAGTCCGAGCTGGAATTGGCATGGCACTTTAATAGCAGTGGGGGATCCATGATTCATTGGCCGTCAATGGGACAGAGAGGAGAGGTGAGAGAGGGGGGGGGGGGGGGGCGGCATGGTGGCAGGTATGAACATTTTTGAGGAAGTAAACAAAACAAAAAGCAACAACCTTAACCATACACCATAACCCTATGCCACCACCCCAACCCACCCCCCCCCCCCCCTCAGCAAAATCTGCCACTGGAAATTGGTACCTACTTTTAATGTTTTGTAATTCACTGAACAGATTTTTCTACAATCTGTTTTTCTGATTTCTGCCATGTTCGGGGTCGATGAACTGTAGACAACTAGCAATATATGCAACCGTTCATTTTTATAAAGAAAAAGGGTGAAATAAATTATTGACGCCGTGCTTTTGGCCTCATTCTAGTTCCCCTTTTCTTTTTTTCGACTGGTTAATTTGGTCTCTTTGATACCGTTAACATGTATGATTGAATGTATTTTTTTAAATGTATAATATTGTAATGATCTATTGTTTTTATATGAAATGAATAAGATTTGAACCTCTGAACTTTGTCTTTTACATTTGCAGGAACGCCCTCTATCAATCATCATGTGGTTCAGATTGTCACTGGTTGTTTTTCTCTCTGTGACTGTGTTTTCGCGGTCTACCGAGGCAATATTTAACATCAACTTGAATTCTGTGAGGAGCGCATTCACAGCGACCGATTGTGGAGGTGAGTTTTTTTCTTCTTTTCTCTTTACCTCTTCAGAAATACATACATACTATTTACAAAACAAGTAAAATGAAACATATGATAACTTCCTTCTTTTTTTTTAAAGAACAGGATGAATTGAAGCTGTTATCATTGCCCATATAATAATGTTGATGAATTTTTCCCTTTTTTGAAAATCTGTCAGGAAAGGGGAATTACCCCTTTGTCCCCCTTCAAATAGTGATAACGTTCTTCATTGTTATGCTTATCATGTTAATTGTTATATTTATTCTTAGGTCGGAATGCGGCTCTTCGTTTCAACAGCGTTTCCGTCACACCACAACCGATCGCCATGCCTGGAACGATACGCATCGCAGTCAACGTCGAAATCGTTCGTAATATCTCGCAGACGATGTCGGCTGAGATCACGGTATCTAGACGTGTTGACTTCGGTTTCTTGGGACATACGTGGTTTGACGTGACACCACCTTGCCCTCCTGGACAGCAATGGTGAGAGACAGGGCGTAGACAACGGGGGGGATGAGGGGGATGCATCCCCCCCACCTCACAAGGTGGGGGGGGGGGGGATGGCATGTACAATCATCCCCCCCCCCAGGTTTTGGGGAATGATATTTGCTTACTTAATAAGTCATAATGATGATAATAATAGTAATAATAATAATGATAACAATTATAATATTAATAATAATAATAATTATGATGATGATAATAATAATCCTCATCATTATTGTAATTGTGTTTATTGTTATTATCCGCATTCACACGGTGAAAGCCAATTCAGACGGTAAAAAAAGAGAAAATCTTACAAGTATTTTGTGGTTATCTTGTGGTTTGGAAACCACAAGATAACCACAAGATTAAACAGGCGCGGGTCTACGGGGGGGGGGGGTAAGGGGGTTTAACCCCCCCCCCCCCCTTGGGCGGCCCAAAAAAACAAACAAAACAAAAAAGGGGGAAAAAAAGAAGGAAAAAAAGAAAGAAAAAAGAACGCACGCTGGAGAGAAACCCTTTCAAGTGCAAATATTGTGAGAAGATATTCAACTCATCTGGTAACTTAACCAAACACATGATAACTCTGGATATAACTGTGTATTTAACTGTTACTTGATTTAAAAAGACATTATCATGCACTGCTTTTTATGGTCTCCATTGTGTTAATAGATGCCAGGAAAACATCACTTACGGGGTTCAAATAAACACCCCCAAAAAAATCGGCTCGCCGCTTTGCGGCTCGTGGACGAAGCTCCGCATCGTCATTATTGGTCAACACCCCCCTAAGCAAAAAGCTAGATCCGCCCCTGAGTCATCCCCCCAGGTGTACGAACCTGTCTACGCCACTGGTGAGAGTGATAATATACTATCACTTCTCTTCTTCATTTGTTAATTACTGTAAAAATCCAGGGATAGCGTTACAGAGGGGCAAGGTCCCCTCCCCACGTACCCAATGATTTGTCAAAGATTTCGTAAATGAATTAACAGTTTTACAAAAAAATTCCCACTTTCTGGTGGTTTCAAACATACCTATCATATAACGCTGAAAAAAAAATGCAAGATATATCTCCCTTCCGCTCTCTCAATTTTTTTTAATTTTTTTTTTTTTTTTTGTGGAGAGAAAAGAGAGAAAGGGAGAGAGAGAGAAAAAAGAAAAGAAAAAGAGACGGGTAGAGAGGGTGAGAGAGAGAAAGGGAGAGAGAGAGAGAGAGAGAGAGAGAGAGAGAGAGGAGCGAAATAGGGTGTTGAGAAAGAGACAACATTTTAATAAACAAATACAAAGAAATGCATTGAAGAAGCCTTGTCTTCCATTCTCCTATCATCCACGTTACTCTGTATTTGTTATGGTTGTTTAATCTCCTCCCCCTTCATTATTTTGTAGCCGCACTGACATGTGTAGTATCATCAACAACACTGTGCAGAGCCAGGGATGCCCAGCCGAGGTCATCGGCAACGGATTCACCTGCACCTGTCCTCCGACCATGGGTTCGTACGTGACGAGGAGCGATCTCCCATTGCTGGTCGAGATACGAGAGAGGGATCTACCGCATCAGATTATTCGTGACTTGATCAGGGTGCGTACCATCTCAATCGTTCTACCTTATACATACACTAGTGGAAATCCACTCTTTGAAGAGTGATATTAGGTATCGCTTCGTTTTTAGTGGAATATAATTATAGTTGAATCCACTCTGTATAGTAGTGGTTACCATAATGATAATAATAGTAGGTTCTCGTAAAGCGCTCATGTCTGTCAAACTTGACACTCCTGGCGCTGAACATTAAATTTGATTATTCCGGCTTTAGCATGTCTTTCGTGAAGCCCTATAGCATTTTAAGGAATTATTCTGTTTTATTTATTAATGTAGCGCTTTGAGCATGTTATGTAAAGGCGCTAAATAAATATCAATGTGTATGTATGTATTTATGTAGGCCTATGTATTTACTTCACCGTTAGCAGGAATGAGTTTTAGAGTATAGTGCAACATTGTCAGTAATAACAAAAAAATCGTATCCAGATGATCCTTATGTTTGACATTTTTTAACTTTTGTCATTTCGTTAAACCACAGGGCACATACAAGATACGAGCTTCAATGTATGACGGGTCTGGATCCAGTGTTGGTTGTTTTGAGGCTAGATTTGGGCTTGTACCTGGCCCAAATCGCCCAAATCCATAGATCTTCGAGAACCGGACATGACGGGGGGGGGGGGAGGGGTGGGGGGGTCCAGATGCCCCCCCCCCCAAAAAAAAAAAAAAAAAAAAAAAAAAAATTATAATAATAAATAAATAAAAAAATAGAGCTTTTACATTTGCCTTCGGATTTAAGAAAAAGAAGACAATAAAAAGCACTTACCATTATACATGTATATATTCGTCCTTCAATATTGTCTTACCTCAGTCTTTAAAGAATTATCAAAAACATTGCATGTTTTATGTTACTATCCGGATAATCGACATGTACGACCATGTAATAATTATAATGACCACAATCTGTATGAAATGAGGCTCCATATACACCTAAATTTGGATGTTATGTAATGCACCCCTTCCCCTTTAAGGGCCCATTGATTAGTATATTGGATGGCAAAATGCTGCATTATCTTCAGTCAGTCACATCAGCGCCTTTGAGTAGGCGTCTACTTTGGCGCTCTCCAAAAAAAAACGATGCCTGGATTTGATAAGACTGAAATTTCATTCAGTTTACAATATTGTAATAAAACCTTAATTATATGTCACTAAAGACATTATCAATGTATGTTTAGATGTCCTGCATGTTGTTATTTTTTTAATTTTATTAATCAATTTATGACAGTATATAGGTCCTACTCCTTTATACCATTTTCTCACAACTGCGCCAGGAGTGTCAATTTCGACAGACATGGCACATTATAAAACTTGTTTACTATTATCGTTATAACTTTCAATCATCTGACCGTACCCCAAAAATATTGTGTTATTTTGAATAAAGAAATTACTAAATCCATTAAAAACGTGTTTATGTACTTCCTTAGTCATTGCACGTCACTCATGGTAGAACCTTATTTTCCTTTAATTTGTGTATTCAATATCACTGTAATACTTAATCTACAAGGGAACAGCCTGTCATCGTCTGTTTAGCAAAACGTTTTGAGGGGAAGATTTGAAATGAGATTGTTGGCTTATAGTGATTATTAACTGATTAAATATAAGACATTTTCGGTTCTTATTGGGACAAGAAGCACCTTGAATGAGAGAAAGAGAGAGAGAGGGAGGGAGGGAGAGAGAGAGAGAGAGAGGGGGAGGGACGGAGAGAGAGAGAGAGTGCGGGGTGGAGAGAGGTGAAGAGATAGAGTGGGAGAGATATAGTGTGTGTGTGTGTGTGTGGGTGCGTGCGTGTGTGTGTGTGTGGGTGCGTGCGTGTGTGTGTGTGTGTGTGTGTGAGAGAGAGAGAGAGAGAGAGAGTGAGAGAGACAGACAGAGACAGACAGACAGACATAGCGAGAGAGAGAGAGACGGAGAGAGAGAGAGACGGAGAGAGAGAGAGAGAGAGAGACGGGATGGGGGAGACAGAGATGTGTATTCAATTCAATTCAAGGTTTATTAAAAAATATCTTCTATAGGCTGAATTGCGATACAATTCACAGATAAAACATGCAAAATTACCAAAATATACATATCAATTACAATGAACATAGTTTGACATGAATTAAAAATCAAATATAAAATATATAAACAGAAAACCAAAGAGTTCAAAAGTGAGTTTTAGAAAAATGGGTTGTTCAAATTGCATCAGGAGTTTAGCGATTATTCAAATTTTAAAACCATTGTAGACAAGATGAGAAATTGCAACTATACAGACAGACGTTAGTTTCTCTTTTATTTGTGTATGTTCTCCTGTTATTCTTTCGAAGATAATTACCAAATTATAATATATTGATAATATTTTTGCTCACAAACTATAATCATGGTATTGATGCAATTAGAGGTTGTCGAACAACCTTTGTTAACAGATTATGCATATAATTCGAATATGTTTAATAGTAAACAGGTCTTTTCAGGATGCATCACATTCCCAGCCTCACCAATGAATAGGGGGCTTGCCTATAAATTCAACCTAGTTATCAATAGCTGGCATCAGACACTATGAACATGACTGACAAAGAAAGCTGACAAAATATACAGTTGCTCAGGTAGATAAAGGAACATCCCTTCACTGCTATTATGTAAAAAGGTGAATATGCATGTGACACCTGTTCTACACATTTTTACATAATAGCAGTGAAGGGATGTTCCTTTGTCTACCTGAGGAACTGTATTTTTTGTCCGCTTTCTTTGTCAGTCATGTTCATAGTGAGAACAACGTCCTTTCGTACATACTCAGACTTTCTGACATAACAACAAGGAATGAAATAAAAAGGTAATTACCCTATATACCTCGCAGAGGCAGGCATATTCTCGTCTTTTGTTTACAAGCACTTTCAATACACAAGAAGGTCATTTAGAAGCAAAGTGATTGAGAAAGGAAAATAATATATGCGTGAGTGATTTAAAACTATACAGCACTGGAAAACAGATCTACATAAAAAATTATACTATGCTGAAAATCAAAGTATATAGGTGTGGTAATAAAGGAACATTTATTAATCGCTGGTAATATAAGATTAAGTAATCATAGTGTTTCCGACATAGCACCACTTAATTGAAAGATATCGAATTCAACTTGTTATAAATAGTTCAAATAGTACCGTGCTTTAGATCTACTCAATAGAAAGCATTTCCTTTATTGTAAAGGATTATCATAGAAGTTAAAAGGCTTTTCGAGAAAGGCACTGACATGATTATATCAAAATAAAGTTATAATACTGATGTTAATTATAGACTGTAGCAGGAAGAAACATATTAATATCCTCCGAATTTTTATTATACGATGGATAGAATATCAATGAACTCATGTTAGTTCTTGATACAATCTGTTATCAACATTTGGGAGTTTTTTTTTGTATTCCTTTCAGCCCTCAGTGCGTCTATCTCCCTCTCTCTCTCTCTCTCTCTGCCTATCTGTATCATTTCGGAATAATGATTATAATTATTGGACGGCGCAATTCAGCAAATACAGGAAAAATTTAACTCGGTATGCAAATATATTGGACTCGTCTATGACTTGACCAATACTTTAGACTAGGCCTATCTCGTCTAATATTTCCATGTATTGACCAATAGGTAAATAGTTTGCCTAATAGATTGATTGATTGATTTGTTTTATTGTCCACATTGAGTGGAAATTCTTCTTTCACATGGTTACAACTATGTACAGTATATAGAGCATAGGTCAAATTCAACAAATTTTTAGTTACACATTGCTCATTAATAAACTCAGCACTACATTTTTTTTAAACAATAAATCATACTTTTACATAACTTGAGGACAACATTGCGTTTTTAATGATTTTTAATGATTTATTCTTCATTTTATTATGAAAAGACGGTGTTTATGCAACATTCGGTAAGGTATGTACATGAGCTAACCAGTTCCCTCTCTCTCTCTCTCATTTGTTTATGATGACGTTATTTTGCATATACATAAACATATATATATATATATATATATATATATATATATATATATATATATATATATAAACATATATATAAATATTTCATGCATTTTCGGATTTTATTATCCCCTTTCCTGGTATGCTTTTCCCGTCCAGAATTTCATTCATTCTTGCCATATAATCATGTGACCGTAGATGGCGATATAATGTAAACAAAAACTGATATGTGACGTGTCTAGCTTGACGTCTGCAGTAAAGACTAGCCGATCTGAACTTGAGGACAACATTGCGTTTTTAATGATTTATTCTTCATTTTATTATGAAAAGATGGTGTTTATGCAACATTCAGTAAGGTATGTTCAACGTTATGCTATAAGATCGAGGGTAATGTGGAATTCCGTAAAAAATCGTTGAATTTGGTGTGTTTTGATGTGATTCGTGGAGACTGAGTCTGTGTTCATTGTGCAAATGAATGTGCTGACTCTGCCTCGGTGTATAGATTCTGTGTGATCGGGTTGCAGATCAGACTGCATGCATGCAGAGTGAATGGATGGGCCAGTTTGCCCTTTATTATTACAAATGTATGGCTTAAGAGGAGTCGGGCTAACTCGGACCAGGGGACAACTCGGCCCAGCTGTAAAAACGGTCATTTTTTGCATGTTTAGGTTTAGGGTTAGGGTTAGAGTTAGGGTCCGAGTTAGCCCAGATCCGCTTAAGAGTGAGCTTCGTTAGTTCATGGAATATCTAACTTACTTCTAACAGTTAGAGTGCCAATGTCTGTGCAATTCTCTTATCTGTGGATATACTAACTCTAGATCCAGGACCAGGAAGCTACGATGGGCGATGGCGATGCCGAGGCGTCAGAGCTTCAGTTGGTGCATCGAAAAACATTCAAACAGCGGGTTGGGCGACATTATCTCAAAATATGCAAAGGGCGTAATTACAATTTTGACTTACAAGGTTGCTTGACTCCTCTGGGCATCTATCTGGCAACTTGAAATTATAATTTGAAGAAGTCTTTGATGGGGAAAAGGGGGTGATTCTTCGTCCTACCCCGACGATTCTTCCATGTTTGTATCGTTGATTCAACCGGCGAAGAGAAAGTACGCACTACCGTGCATACATACGTTCTCTTCACTTTACATCCAAAAATCACCAATTCTAGATTCTATTACTGAAAACAGACAAAAATGCATTTCACTGTTTTTACTCTTTAGAATTAGATCAAGTCAGATATTTATTTTTTTTTACAAAAGTTAAATCTAACAGTTACATGTACCTTCTTTCTGTTCTATTTTTCTTACTGTATAGTTTTAATTAAGTAGCTGGACTACACCACCGCAGCCATGTGGGGGCGCATGTCGAATATGATGCAGAATGTCCAAGGGGACACGCCTACAAGAGATGGTGGAGCGGGAGCTCAACAGGTAAAGGTCAAAGGTCATCTGTGTATTAAGGTTATTGTCAGGTACCTATTGTAACTTGGTTTTTAATGCTAATACTTAGATGACCTTGAATCAACTGTTTCAGAAATATGGGGTACCGATCGAGAGGCAAAATTAGTCTGAAGTTTTATGGACGTCAAGACAACCAATACAATTTGTACTCAAGAACTAGCTTAGTAAAGTTTTAATAAATATAGACCAATATAGACCAGTATGTTTTCATGAGAATTATCTTAAACAACTTATCTCTTCAAAGTAATATCAACATGTATTCAAAATGTTTGGCTTCTCACAAAGATTTGCATCTTTTTCCTCATCAGTTTATTATCTGTTCATGTTTACGTTATCATTTCAGATCCTTTTGTTGTTGTTAGAGTAGTAGCAACAAATGAAAATTACATTTATGAGTAAAACAAAATTTAAAAAAAATAAGGTTTTAGAAGAATCCCTGTCCCACATAATGATGTAACTGGAATCCCTAAAAGGACATAAGCAAAGATATAGGGGGCTGCAATCTACAAGCCCAGCTTTTCAGCATCCCCCCCCCCCCCCATGACCAACCTGTTTTATATGCCTGTTGTAAATTGTGGCCAATTACGAATATATATCGTTAAGTTTCATTGTTTTACCATGTACAAAGCAATCCCATGTACTTTATTTTATTTGGTTGGAAATGGAAATAAACGAAATGAAGAAATGAAGATGTTTAAACAATATCTTTCCTCTTTGTAACAGGGTGGCAGTACGTCATCCCCGGGGGATGCAAGCTTTGTGTCAGCGGGAGACGCAAGCTTCGTCAGCACCTCGGACGCTCAGGATCAACTGGAAGAACAGAACCGCCTTGTAACACAACTCAAGGACATGATCAGAGGGAAGGATAAGGAGTTGGTTGAGTCTAGCGCAAAGCTTTCTAAATTTAAACTCCAGGCCAAGGCTAAGATAACGACCCTGACCTCTCAGCTAGAGGCGGCCAAGAAGAGTGGTGATGGCTCAGAGGCAAAGGTATGATCAGGGTCTCAGTGAGCAGAGAGTTAATGGGATTGGGTATATCTTTGTCTCAGATTCTAAACAAAATCCTGGATTTAGCTCATGCTGCAATCATAATTATAAACCTTTAGGTCAGTCAGGAATCCCTTGACTTTTACAAGCCGATCGCCTGTCTGATTATCAAGATATTTACGATTAGAATTCGAAATTTCACCTCTCCCCAGAACTCAATCTTCTCTTTAATATCTCTACATGTCTTTAATTCACTCCTACAACAATCAGAACTTTCTTTTTGATTAATTTCTGATTTCAGAGTGATGGAGGAGGAGACGACGCATCGAGTCGCGGGAAGCTCCTTCTCTTGAAGAAGAAGCTTGATGAGAAGGAAAGAGCCCTCAAGGACAGCGTTGAGAAGAGGAGTAAACTAGAGGAGGTGGTGAACACTAAGCAGGAGCTACTGAATGAGAGAGATAGCAGGGTAGCGCAGTGTGAAGGGAGGATTGATGAGCTGGAGGAACAGGAAAGGAATAGAATAGCTGAACTTCAGGTAAGATGAAACAGCGTATTGGTGAACTTTACCACGTACATGTTATAAAGTGACCTGACACATGACATGGTGTGTGTAAAGTCAATGTTTGTGTTGTCCCGTATACATATTTCTGTGTACAGTCCTTGCTACTTTACCAAGACTGGGCCAAATTCTTATCATTTTGATGACTACAGAACTTTGCAGTACACACCAATACTTACAACACAACAATAATTACATTTATAGGGCGCTTTCACAGGCATTTCTAAGCGCACAGGTGGTACTGTCTAACTCCGTATAATTATTCAACATGTTCAATAGCTTAAAATCAACAAAATAAAACGTGATCAACCTTTTCTGATCGATTTCATATCGTTTCTGTCACAATGCAATCACATGACCAGAACTCAACTTTATCTTTAAGACCAGTATGATTGATTGGAAAGATGAAGTAGAGCTCTAAATTTGAAGCATAGTCTTGTGTCTTCATTCTTCAATGACTACAGGAGAAAGACAAAACCATAGAGAAACGGGATGCGATGCTGGAGGCTCTTAGGAGCGGTGGTGCTGCCGTCGTCATGGATACGGGTCCTACAACACAACTCACGAGCAAGATAACAGACTTAGAGGTAACAAGGGAATGGGTGAAACAAGTTTGGAATTGATACATTTTAGGGGGTCCAATTGGCTGCATGTTTATGTGTAGAAGCCACAGCAAAACAAATGACAAACTTAAATGAACTAGCAGAAAGAAAGCAAAAGAAAGAAGAAAAAAGTATTCTAAAAAAGTGCTCTTAAATGGGTTTCATATTTATGAATTATGCATGAAAAAGTCAGCAATTCATATGATAGATTTTATGATTATTCACTGTATGTTGGTACTTGGTACCAGTATTTCTAAATTCCAAAAAATATCTATGCATGGAATACAATGGTTGGGTACTGATCATTGATCTGGGTTGTTTGTTTTATTCCACCTTGCAATCAACCAAAATACTACATTCACTTCTTTATACATTCCTGAACAAAAGTATCCTCACATGTTTAAATGTTGTTTTTTGTGTTCTGTTTTGTGTTCTGTCAAGTGTCGTACTTATTCCTTTCATAGTCAAAGTATTAACTTTCCTCTTTATCAAATGAAAGTAATACATATATCCATTCTCATATGTTTTCTTTTATTATGCATGTATCATCAAGTACCATTAATAAAATGGCATAATACTCACTTTTCATTTTTAAAAAAGGATAGTAGCAAAATGCATGTTTGATCATATAATTTCTATCTTTCTCAACAACAAATATTCAGTGCATGATTTTTAATTTCTTTTTTTAATTTAATCATACAAAATTTCTGCATGATTCATAGGACTTCCATATTTGCCCCCAATATTAAGATAGAGATGAGGAGTGTGGCAAATGTATATAAATTGCAAAGAGTTACAGAGTCATGGGAAGGATGTATCACAAGTTTCTACAAGATCCTTTCTCAGGTTTAAACAAAGCCAAATATTTGATGATAGGTCTACAGTAAATGTACCTTGTAATCTTGATAACCTAGAGAATATTAGGTGAGGAAGAGGGCAGGTACCAAGAAGTCCTGGAACAGCTAGTCCGCAAGGACCAACTGATCATGGAACAGAGTGAGCGGGTCCTGGTTCTGGAGCGCCAGACCCATGGGGCTCAGATGATGACCCAGGATCAAGGAGAGGTCATCGAGGGTAGAGATAGGGCCATCAAGGTGAGACTATGACATGGTTCATGTTTGCAGATTTTAGTTTGGTTTGCACTTCGCAGTTCTATAACCCACTGCTGCCTGTATATGCTTCAGACACTGTTCATATTTGCAGAGTTCGGTTTGGTTTGCAGTTCCACAGTAACCTATTGCTACCTGTTTTAGCTTTAGTTGTACCAACAGTAGAATACTACTTCTATGTATTCTAGAGATAGGGCCATTAAGGTGATATTATGAGATAACACATGGTTGATGTCTGCAGAGTTTGGTTTGGTTTGGTTTGCAGTTCAACAGTAACCCATTGCTAAGTGTAAGACTTCAGACTTTACCTGCTTTAGATGTAGTTTTACCATTTGACCAGAAGTAGAAACTACTTATACATGTAGGTATAGTGTAGTCTTAATGATTGTAATTTGCAATTATTTACAAAGCCAGTTGAGATACATTTTTACCTGTATGTCCTTTGAGAAAAAGCAATGCAAAACCAGTTAGGCATGTTCTTGTATGTAGCAGTTTCACCGTAACACGCTCTTCATCTAACATTTAGTTTAGTTCGTGTCGAATGTTATGGGGGAGTAGTTTTGGGAGTAGAACGTCGAGAGGTGCTAATGAATTGTTTTAGAGGTGAGGCAAATAAGGCAATATACATGTAAGGATACATGTATCTTCTTAGTAACTAAATGTGGTTATTTGCAGCTTTTTCTCAGTTAAAAATATAGGTAAAGTAGTTGCATGGAAAATCCTAGTGGGCCTAATGTACAGCTTTGGGTCGTATCCAAGTCACTAAGAAATGTTATCTGAGCTTATAGGCACAATTACACCGCAGCTGCTTTGAACTTGTGATCTACCTTTTTAATTTACATGTATTTGCCATTTGCCGTTTGTCATTTTTTGCATTAACTTTCTTGAAGATATCAGTATAGTATTAATGACTGCTTTGAGAGAAATAGTTGTTTTATTACGCTCAAGGGAAGGTTAGAATTGTGCTATTCCCCGAGGCTTGCCGAGGGGAATAGCCCAATTGTAACCTTCCCGAGAGCGTATGAAAACAACTATTTCTCGAATATTAAAGCAGTCATTAATACTTTTATATGCCGAAAAAAAATAGACTAAAAAATGAAAAATTAAAAATATTTATCATTTTTGTCGAAGACGGGATTCGAACCCTTGCGTACAACAGGAGGTGTACCGAAAACCAACGCTTAGACCACTCGGCTATGGCCCGCCGTTAACATGCTTGGCAGTTTTCTCCAATATATACATTAAAATGGATTGAAACCGGCTTCGCTTCGCGTGTGATGAATGCTTCGCAAAAGCTCCATATACGGACTCTTCTTTTACTTTTGCAATGCATATTGGCACGAACTTAGATCAAGATCTATCGGCAGATGTTGTTTTTTTGTTTTTGGAAGTTTATTTTCGTCTTCATGTCAACAATGCAAGATAAAATTGTCGGTAAGATCGATCGAGATTCAATTGTATTGAAATTACCGACCAATCCTTCGCACACATACGGCATCCTCCATCGCTCAAACCATTTTTTAACATGTAAACCTATGGGGTAACCATGGAGGCTGACCAACTTTTTTTAATAACCATGGTTATTAAAAATATTGAAATGTTTTATGCATGGTTACCGAGAATTTTACAGGAACAGTTGAAGTTTATGAATGCAATTCGACCAATCAGATGGCTGGATTTCTTAAGTGAGGTATATAATGGGTTATATTTCATCTCTGATGCATAGATTTATAGTTCAGTGAACCTCATAACACATGCATGTTGCTTCATGATCAGGGAAATAACACGTTGCATTTCTCTAACCCTAACCATCCGATTATTCACACCATCATCTATTTTTTTACTTTTTTTTGCTCAGAATACTTTTGCATTTATCAAAATATTGAACATAGTATTCTTGTTTCCCATCAATCCCTCACACCATTTCATACCCTTTTGAATAACTTTTATATGTTCATTGTGTGTTTGTGGTATAACAGTTTGTTGCTGCACTGTGCAGTGTCTTCATCGTTATTTGTTGAGTTTTTGTTGCTGTGTTTAATTTTGAATTTAATGTCATTATTTTTACCACTCCTAATTCTGAAAATATATTCCTGTATTTGTAAGGTTTTTCAAGAAGAGTACAACCAGAAAGACAAAGACATTTGCCTAATTAATGTGAAACAATCATAAAATGCCCTATTTTGAAGGTCGTACAAGAAGAGTACAACAAGAAAATCAAAGCCATAGCAAACACCTTTGCCTTATAGATGTAAAACAAATTAAACATACCCCGGTACCTGTATATGTATGTTTAATTTTAAAGGTTCTGCAAGCAAAGTGCAAGCAGATGGCCAAAGACATAGCAAATCCTTTTGCCTAATGTAAAAATAAATCATAAAATGCCCTATTTTGAAGGTCGTACAAGAGGAGTGCAACCAGAAAGACAAAGACATTTGCCTAATTAATGTAAAACAAATCATAAAATGCCCTATTTTGAAGGTCGTACAAGAGGAGTGCAACCAGAAAGACAAAGCGATAGAAGATCTGAACAAGGTGATGGAGAACATGAGATACAAGATGGAGTCAACGGACGAGAGAATCACTCAGCTAGCAGACGACTTAGAAGCGAAGGAGGCCCTCTTAAGGCAGGAGAAGGAGAGGTACGAGAAGGAGAAGGCATTGCTGGAGGAGAAGCTTCAGATCTATGAGAGTCCGGAGAAAGGCGATGCAGACGCTAAGCAACAAGAATTCATCAAGGTTGGTTGGTCTGAAATTGTAAAAACTTATGATACAGTCAAACCTACTTTCATGACCACCTGTCTACAAAGACCACATTTTTTGTTTCCCTCTAAAACGGTTTCTCATTAAAACATCTACTAAAGGAACCTGTCTACAAAGACCACTTTTTGTGTTCCCTTGGGCGGTCACTATAGACAGGTTTGACTGTAGAAATAACGGAGGGTAGTCCCCTTGATGTGTCAAAGGTGTTCTGTCCTATAAACTTACTAATCATGTACTTCAGTGTACCTCAGGGTTGTATTAAGTAGATGGCATTACTGTCACCGAGATATAAACAGCAAGGAAAATAACAATTTATGTGGTTTTTTCTCCACGATACTTGGTAGTGCGTGAGACATAGAAAGATTAACAATGCCTTAGACTTGTATGGGACAACTTGAAAACTATGGACTTGACCAATGCTTACTTAAGTGCTTCAAATGCTCCAAGAGAAGATGCCGTTTTCAATGCATTTTCACTTGTCTTATTTTCAGTTTCTTGGTCGTACTTAATGTCAAAATTTTACATAATTATTTTTTTCATTAATTTTCTAAATTTTTAAACAAATAATCATGTTTTTCTTTTTCTCTTAGAATCTTGAACGTCGTTGTCAGGAGACGGAGGGGAACCTTGATGCTAAGACCAAAGTGATTGAGATGCTTCAGGAGGAGATTGCTTCTAAGGAGAAAGCTGACATGGATCATCAGAGGAGCATGACAGCTCTGGGAGAGAAACTTGGTATCACCAAAGAACAGATGAGAGCCATGCAGGAACAGTTTGTGGAGAATGTAAGATACTGTTCTGATCATATTGATTGTAATGGTGACATACATGTAGATGATGATGGTCGTCATGGGGATTGTGATGCAGATGATGATGATGGTGGTGATGGTGGTGGTGATGGTGGTGGTGATGGCGATGATGATGATGATGATGATGATGATGATGATGATGATGATGGCGATGATGATGATGATGATGCAGATGATGCAGATGATGATGATGATGATGATGATGATGGCGATGATGACGATGATGATGATGATGATAATAGTTGTGGTCATCATGATGACATGACGATGATGGTGGTGATAAAACTGACATTTATAATAATAATAATAATCACGATGATGCATGATACTGATTCAGCACAAGCCATACACAGTATGAAAATTATAAACAATAAAAGATGCATTTTGCAATAGCAAACTTGTACACAGCTTTTAAAGTCATGGTACTATAATTCCTTTTTTCTGTCCATTTTAGGAAGAATCATGGAAGAAAGAGAAGGACGAGATGAATTCCAGATTAAAAGAAACAGAAGAACTCAAAAACAAGTTAGACTCTGACAACACAGAGAAGATGAATGCTCTCACTGCCTTACAGACTGCTCTCAAGCAGTACGAGACTGCTTACAACCAAGCTAGCTCACAGTATAACACTCTGGCTCAAAACTATGAGCAACTCCAAGCAGAGCTGACCCAGGCTAAATCAGAGCTCGACACTGCAAACACAGAGAGTGAGGCATCGAAGAAGGAGGGTGAAGATAAGGAGAAGGATGGAGTTCAAGAGAAGGAAGAGCTGAAGCGAAGGGTTGGAGAACTGGAGAGAGAAGTTGAGGAAAGGATAGGAGAGTTAAGAAGGACTAAAGATGAGGTGGAGGAGCTGAAGGTGGAGAGGGAGAAGGAGAAGGAAGATCTTGAAAGAAGGATTAAGGGATTAGAAGGAGAGGTTGAAGAAGGGAAGACAAACTTAGATGCAGCACAAAGAGAGTGTGATGGATTGAAGGATCAAGGTGAGGAGAGTGAACGGACAGGCATGCATAGAAGGGCAGAACTTGAACAAAGGATAGTAGAACTAGAAGAAGAAGTAGAGAATGGAAAATCAAAACTAGATGAATTGAATCAGGAAATCATGAAGAAAGATGGAGAGATCAAGGGAGAAGCTGAAGGGAAGACTGATCTGGAAAGTAGGTTAGCAGAGCTGGAAGGAGAGTTGGAGAAAGGAAGAACTGAGTTGGATAGAGTGAAGGAAGAGAAGGAGAAGAAGGAAGAGGAGATAGCTGATTTCAAGACCAAGGCAGAGGAGAAGTTTAACAAGTTGAAGAACCAAGCTAAGAACAAGGTTAAGGCTCTGGAGGAAGAGCTTCAAGGATTGAAAAAGGTGAGTTGAATAAAAGCTTTCTTTACATCTATAGGACACGGTAAACAGGTGATCTGATATGTGCTCGTGCAGAACTTGCTTCAGGCTTAATTTTATAAAGGGGTACAGGGTTTAAGGGTTAAGGTTATGGGTTACGGGTTGTAATTGAGGTGTAGGCTAAGGGTCAACTCCAGGGAGCTCCTACACTGGGAAACGATTTAAACAGCGGTATTGGTCCTATTTGTAGGAAATCTAAAAAGTATTAATAAAGATTTAGACTTACAATGCTTTTCGACTCCTCTGGGCATCCCGTCAACCACTTGAAATTATAATTTGAAGATGTCTTTGATGGGAAAAAGGGTGATTCCTTGTCCTAAACCAATTCATCCATGTTGTTTATCGTCGATTCAACATGTAAGTGAAAGTTTTGTATCATTGTTTTTTTTTAAATGTAACTGCACCAAGATAGGCAGATTGGAATATTCCTTTCAAATTCCTTTCAGGGAGCACCTTGTATTTGATGGTACTGATTATTCATAGATCTATGCAAAGAGGGAACCTAGCCATATTTATATTATAGATCTTTGGATATAATTTAGGAGTCATATTGGATATGTGCAAACTCCATCTGGTTTATTTACAATTACTACATGTATTTGGAATGTGGTGTAGCTTGAACAGTGACACCTGTGCTTTCTCTCACACATTTAAATTACAAGTTGACACAGTTTTCTGCAATGTAAACAAACCACATGTAATACAAAGGTTGGGCAATGCAAAAATGGCACCAGTTCACACATGTACTAATTACAGGTACAGGTATGCAACTAACTAAAAGAAATTTGCATTGATTTTAATTACAATGACTTAGAACAGGTGTTTTCTTAAATCTAAACAGTTCTTAGTCTTCAGAGTTTCTTGGAATGCATTTAACAAAAGGGAAGTTCACATTGATAGTTCTGGATGCCTGAAGCATGCAGTAGCAGTTATTTGATTCAGCTTTTCCCAGGCCTTTAATGTATTCAGAACATTTTTGTATGAACACTCCATAGTGTTCTGGAAGAAGTCATTTTAAGACCATTTCTTTCGTTGGACATACCTTTGTTGGACATACATGAGGTTCTATTCAAATTGGATTGAGGATTTATAAACACCTGTCATATGTGAACTACTTCATATGTATGCAAGTGTGTTCTAAGAATGCAAGCTTTGGTTACACAGCGTTGTGTATTTTATACATGCATGTATGTATACTGTATATTGGAATATAAAACTGATTGGTAAGTGAAGGGGCAAGTGTTTTGAGAAATTTGCATTCTCGTGTGCAGTGCTACATGTAGCGGGAATATGTTGACACTTTGGATCATTGTCAAACTTGTGGAAATTGTGTGGATATCTGGATGGCATTTGATGACATTTCTATCAAAAACTGTATCAGCAATGGAAGGTCATTTCACATATGTGTTTTCTCATATGGATCACCAGCAGCTTGAGGTATGAGCATGTGTAAGATCAGTATCTTATAACTCAGTCACACTAGTGGGGCATTAATTGCAAGTTGCAAAATTTGCAACTGATATTTGCAATCGATTGCAACTCAACTTTCTTGCAACGCCCCACACTAGTATCCTAAATTTCCTAGGATTTTGATAGAATTAAATTTTTAATAATTAAATTGAGTTAACAAAATCTAGCTTTTATTCTCCCCCCCCCCCCCCTCCTCTCTCTTTCTTACTAATGGGGCATTGCAAGACGGTTGAGTTGCGATCAATTGCAAATTTGCAATTGATCACATGACTTGCGCTTGATTTTGGGGAATTGCAATTAATTGCAACTTTCTTGCAACGCCCCATTGGTCTGTATTCATCAGAATTTAATTTTTTTTCTATAAAAGATATTTCATTCCTTTACCAAGTTGAATTGAATGAAAAATAAGAGCAAGAATTAGGTGAAATTTGAACAAAATTTGACAAACAATAAGAAAGTTGTTAATCTTTTGAAGCTTTAATCAATATATACAAAAGGCAATCTCAAAAAGAAGCCAGTCGACTTTGAAGTATTTTGGGGAAATGCTTACTGGTACTGAAGATATGATTTATATTCTGGGGTTTCTTTTTCTTTCTCTCTCTTATGTTAAAGTGCTTTTTGCCTCGAGCATGGCTCCAGATAGGAATAGCATGTTGTTTTGGATTCTCCCAAAACATAAAGCTCTAACTGCATCAAATATTTATTTTAAAGATCTGTTTTCTTCTGTTCGTGTTTGAGAACAAATGGGAAAGTTGTTGGTTGCTATATCATAGTGACTGTTTGTCTGAATTATGTTGACTTTCACCAATCTGCTTCCCTGAATATAAATATATTTCTGCTTTCCACCAGAACGACTTGCTCTTCAGGTTGGATTTCACTGAAATAGTTGTTTTTCACGCACATAGCCTGAGTTACTGAAATGTACAACAGTAAATATTTACATGTCTAAACACTGTAAAAATTAGTAAAAAAGGTGCTTGTGTCTGTCTACATGCTAAATGTTCCAGGGAATAACTTTCATTAATAATAATATTTAATCATGCAAAACTCTCTTTCATACCTTACATGTAAAAAAATATGTCCCCCCCTTGATGACCTTGATGGCCTTGATGGCTTTGTTGTTGACATACATTAACCTATATCGGTATTTGTATGAAAGAGAGAAACAGAGAGAGAGAGATAGAGAGAGAGAGAGGGGGGGGGGGGGGAGAGAGAGGGAGAGAGAGGGAAAACCAACCATCTGCTATGAGTAGAGTTGCCATGTGAAAATATTAATCAAATATAACTTTGGTGCTGATGACGTTGCATTGGTTATTGTTTACTCATCTATAAAGTGTTATGTTGTAATTGGAATGCAAAGCTTGTAATACATCTAGATGTACATGTCATGTCAGCAGGAAATCACATGGACTACATGACTACATTATAATGTGTTCTGATGAGAGTTGAACATTCCTCTGAAGATGTGGAGAAAATGTATGCATTGATTTTATAAGGATTAATCTTCATAGACAGTGAACAATTCATAAAAATGTGAGTGTAACTAATTTTAATTATCAAGAAAACAGTATGTACAACATGTCTTTTGACATACATGTACATGTAAATATTTTCATATCAGCAGCATCATATTTTACAAAAGACATATTTATTTGTCTCCTTGTGACATGAGCCAAAACATTCCAGTTACATGTATGCATAGTGCATACATGGGCATGGGGCTCTGTAAATGCTCTGCAAAACACATTTTGCACATGTACATGTACATTCCACAGATGAACAATATTTGCTCGAAATCATGTTCACTTACAAGTACTGGTACATGTAAATTGCTATTTAAGTCTGACTCAGCATGTGCATTGTCATTGCTCGCTATAGATTACATTATGATTTTGCATATTACAGTGTGTATTGGACTTAGTTTTGTCTTATTTCTTTGTTGTGAAGGTCGATTCCCTGGTTGAGGAGGTGAACGATCTGAAGAATAATGTCGCAGAGTTAGAAGATGAGAAAGGAAACCTACAACTCAGACTGGTCGACTTTGAGGAGACCAAAGCTCAAATCGGTAAATAATTTTTGTAATTTAGTATTTTGGTAATAATAGTCATTTTAAATAGATACTTCCTCTTTTACAGCACCTTAACTTTAATAAAAGTGCTTACAGTATTATTACCCGTCACTGGATTGTATTTCCATTCAGCACATGACAATACACATTCTCCACTCTGCTGGGGAGCATTCCAGCCAGTTGCCTTTTTATAGGTGCACACATGCTAAATCCAATCACAATGACTTTCAAATCATTTCTTGGTCCCTTGCCATTCATTTACGCATGAAATTTTATTACTTCAGTGATTTTTTTTAGGGGGTTTGAAGTGTATAGCATCATGTAGGATCAAAATTGTTAGCTAATAGAGTTATCATTATTGAAAATATTATTTACACTTCAGAATGCTGACTTGAATAAATGATGATGATGAGAAACTTCAATATTTACCAGTGCTAATTTTTCATTTGTTCACCCTTTTGACACCTTGAAATATTTACACTCTTTTATTACATTTTTTTTTGTATCACAAATTATTTGTTCCTCCTTCAGAAAATCTTGAGAAGGTTTTGATTCAGAAGGAGGATAAGATCAAGATGGTTGAAGAGGAGAAGGGAGAGGTTCTGAAGATGATGCAAGAAACAGGAGAAGAGAGGATGAAACTGGAAGAGAAGATAGAGGAGCTTACTGCACAGGTTGAACAGGTACATGTAGGTGATGGTGATGATGATGGTGATGATGATGATGGTAATGATGACGATGATGATAATGACAATGATGATGATAATGGGGATGATGGTGGTGATGATGTTGTTGACGATAGTGATGATATGATGATGATGATAATGATATATATAGATATGAATATAATAATATATAATATGAATCTTTGTCCTTCTTTAACAAGTCTTTTCTAATTTGAATTCAGAATCAAATCAACCACAACCAGGCTGAGGAAGACAAGATCAATGAACTCAACTCCATGGTCGACGATGTCCGTGCCAAGCTGGTCGATGCCGAGGAGCGATGCGACCAGGAAGTGAAATCAAGGGTCAGTGTCGAGTCTCGTCTGGTGGACCTTACTGACTTTAGAAAATCATCACAGTCACACATGGTCAGCATTCTGAAAGAAAAAAACAAAAACTTGCATGCTTGTCTGTTTGTATCTCTTTGTATGTCTGTTTTTGCATGTCGGTATGCCTGTCTAGATGTATCTGTATTGAGAATGAGAAAACTGAAGTAGCTTGTCTGTTTGTATGTGTATATATCTTTCTCTCTCATTTGGCTGGCAGAAGGGCATAAGTGCTAAACATGGATGCGTGTCCTTGCGTTACTCAGAAGGTAGTTAGCGATAAATGTGCCTATTTGATATGAACCTACATTAAATTGTTGCAATCCATTTCCTCTGTTTTTAGTCTACATGAAATCCCTGTTGTTAATAAAGATTGGAATAACATGTTTAGAGCAGTCAAACATGTGAGTTATCAGAAATTTGCTCTATGGTATGCACGCCTGCTAATGGCCAGCTGCCTGACTATCTGCCTTCACAGGGATTACAAATAAGAAAATGAAAAGTTTTAAATTTTCTGATTTTCTCTCTCTCTCTCTCTCTCTCTCGCTCTCTCTCTCTCTCTCTCTCTCTCTCTCTCTCTCTCTCTGTATATTGTGTGTCTATTTATCTGCATGCATGTAGTTGTATGTTTGTTTGTACATGCATTGTATGTTTGCATATCTGCCTGTCATCGTCATTATCTGTTGTAAACCAGACACTAGGCTGCAGCTTTTGTGAATTTCACAATATTTTCAGATGTTGTAGATTCACAAGTTTTATGCCGTAGAATTATTGAGCAACAATTTTGCAGTCCACAAAGGCCTCTCTCTTTGCCAAAGTGGCCTCATTGATCAATTCAAAAGGAGTTTCTGGTTTTTACAGTACATGTCTTGTGTTGCTATTAGAGGGCCTGGTGGTATTTAGGTCTCTCTTTTTATCTGCATGTCCCTTTCTGCCTGTCTGTCTGTCTGTTTGTCTGTATGTCTGTCTGTATGTCTGTCTGTATGTTTGTCTGCTTGCATCAGTGATCTTGTGTCTGCTGTTACATGTTGGTACATGTACATGTATGTCTGTTCCTCTGTTTGCATGTGTATCTGTCTGTCTGCGTAGATTGTTTATGTATCTGTCTAATGTATGTGTTCCTATATCTGTTGGTAATTAGGTAAAGCTAATTCTCTATTGATCTACATGTACAAACATCTGTCTGCTTTTATAAAACATGTATTTGTCCGTCTGTCAGTTAATTTCTAACTATATTGGCTGTAGGTATATAGATATCTGTATGTCTTTCAGTCTATGTCTCTCTGCTATCATATCTACCTCACCAGTTGTTGGGTTGTTCTCTATTTCCAATACTTTTCTTTTCTTTTTCTATTCTTTAGTTTCTTTTAGAAGTGCATCAGTAACTGCCTCTAAGATCTGCCCAGAAAATAACCCTTTTATGCATACATGAACCAAATGGACATCTAAGTAGATGTTAAAAAGGTCAACACCCCATATACATGTACATGTATATTTTGTGTGTTATACAGATGTTTGATGCACATTACGGTTGTATCATTTCAACTAATTACATAGGCTATAGTTACATTTTTATGAATTCCAGCTGTATGTAGTGGTCAACCTTGTTGTCTCGCTCTGTTAGTGTAAATGTTTGTTGTAGATATGGTCTAGTATGGCTACCTATCTACAGTAGCCACTCTTTATATTTCCCGGGGATGGCCTTAATAAGCTACCTATTAAAACTTCATTACAAATACAGTCATTGGGTATTTAATCATGCCATTTCCCTTACACTTCCCATTGTTAGTTCATATCTAGCTCCCCTTTATTTATTTAACCACACATCCTCTGCATGTAGCTGCAAGTTGTGTTTCTTTCAATTCCCCTGCCCCCACTTTCCTTTCAGTCATTTCATTCCTTTCCTCTTCTTAATAACAAGTCCTGTAAAACAAACAATCAATCCCATCATTATCGCCAATAACATGGACCTACATGTACAATGTAGTACTTGTATCTGTCATGTTAATATTACTCCACCGTGCATGCTGATTCTCCTTGTTTCTTTCTTGGTTTCATCTCCTTCATGAAATGAAATGTCCTTGTAATCCTTTTTTGTTTTGTTTAAATCCTCTCTCACACCACCAAATCAGTGCAGAAATTTAGACGCATTCATTTTCTACACTTGTATTTAGTATGAACATACAGTGTATCTTGAGCTGCAAATGAATGATTATAAATGTCAAGTTTCATCAAAAAGAAACTAAGCTACCAAAAACTTTATCAAAGGAGAACAATATGTAACAATACTATTTCTTCAACTAATACTTGTTTTCTTTCTAATACGATTCTTTATGGTTTTCCAGAACTTTTCTACCCTTAATATACCTTTAACTTTTAACTCTTGTTGATTTATAACATGCATGTTCACCAACCTGTTTAATTGTCATGTCATACTGAAACCTTCCATTATATAGTTTTAATATCAGGATGCTGACCATGTGTTGACAAAGTCGGCTTAGGCTTCTCTACATGACCTCTCTACTGTAAAAGTCCATCACAAAGAGTCTTCTACCAGTAAACAATGTACATGTACACTATATAACCATAGATACTGAGTGGTTATGACCACACAAAGTTCTTGCCATTTAAATTGCTCTGTTTGTAAATAAGAACATTTTCTGATTTGACAGTACTGAGCAAACGCACATGCTTGCACGTAGTACACAACCTTTGAAAAAAATCCCAAATCCAAGTAAAAACCTACAAGCATCTTTCATTGCTGCACTAATTCCTATATATTTGGGTGGTAATGTCAGCAAATATATGTATATCATCTGTTCAGAGCCAGAAGGCATTAACTCTGTGTTACAGGTATATGAGTTAACGCCCTTCTGGCTACAAACAGACGATATGAAAGTTAGTACAATACTTTATGAGCGGAAACTTGACCTCATCCTTTAATAATTTTCTAAAACAATTTTTAAGATTGAAATTACACCAGTTTACATGATACATTGGTATACGTCAAATTCACATATTTATTCTGAAAGTTATATACGTTGGGGTTTGTCATATCATTAGTTCCTTATTTCGATCACTCTTTATTACATCCAATGATATACATGTGCATTATAAGGCCTTTTAAATTATTATTTCATTCAATTTATTTAATTTGTGCTGTATATGTAACTACCCCATGGCATTTAATCAGTGTTATCCCTATATGTTAAAACTATTGCATGTATTGTATGTGTGCCTGTTTTATGCCTTTAGATATGAACTAACAAGCTCCTCCTTGCTTGCCCCCTTCATATATTGCATGCACTGCAAGCATCAAAACCTTTGTGTGTCATTCAATTCCAAGGGGCATTTTTTTTGGGGGGGGAAGGGTGATAACAAATTGTAGCTTTTACAACATTGGCCCCAATAAGTACACATCAATCTCTTTGCTATACGCTGTAGAAATGTTGCTCTGCTCCTTCTCTTGTTTAAATGGCCCTTTAAAAACTTTCCTTGTTCTTTTTTAAAAGAACAATGTAGCTCAAGTGATCTTATACACTATATCCATGACATGTGAAAGGGTTTCCATTTTGCCTTAAAGTCAAAGGAAATCTGGGTTCTCTTTTCTCCAGTCAGAGAAAATCATGAAAATTGAGAAAAATTACTCAAACTAGAGAAAATCAGGAAATGCCATTTGCCCCAAAAGAAAGTAGTGATTGACATGTCCGAACAGGATCTCCACTTGTTGATTGGTTTTAGTGGATTTTCACTGTTAACCCCTTGACTCCTGTATTCTCTCATCCTCATAGGCTTAGTGCAGGGATCACCCGGTTCCAGTATGCATTGGGTTAATTGAAGACATTTCAAACTGGAAATAGGTCCCAGTATTGATCCTACAATTTCATAAATCTATCAGGGAAAAATCAGCACTGCACTACTTATAGCTACTTGCGCCCTCTATTTAGCAAACAATGCCTGAGCAGTGACCGTTGGTACCCCATGATCCCCTTTTTCTTATGCTGATTGAGAGATTATGTTACTTTGATAAGATAACCTCCTGTCAGTGACCACGCAGAGAGGTCTAATCCCTCCTGGCCGAACTAGTGCAGATAGGCTTTAAATGAAATTCTGGGAACCCTGCTTGAAGAATAGTAGCACAACCTATAAACACTAATTATGTATTTTTCAGGCTGAGCAAGACGAGAAGATCAAGTCTTTAGAGGCCTCGTTGGAAGAGACGAACAATAGCTTGGCAGAGACGGAACAAGCGAGGGCGGGCTTGTCAGAGGAGAAGGTTACTACTGAGCTGAAGATGGTTCAACTGGAGGAGGAAAAGGATGGTGAGACAGGCATCATACCAATAGACTTTCAATATTCTAAATTTCTAAAGTGAAACTTAGTCATACCACCAAGCCAACTCCAAACCGAATCCTAGCCATAGAGCTAATGTGATTATTTGTCAGTGTTGTATGTGTGACTAAGGCATTTGGAAGCATGTAGTTTCTTAACACTTTCTCTGCATTTCAAGCTTTCCTAGATTTTTATATAAATGTGAAGTATCAATATCAGATGACTGAGATGAAGAGAAAGATGGATACCGGTCTCTGACTGTGATATCTTTCTTCAATGCTATTCTTTAGTAAGAATAATTATGAAAATCTTTCTCTGTTGGTATAATGTAAATCACATTATGCTGTTTTGTAAATATGAGCTGGGAGCTTTTCTTTCTCATGCTCGGAACTTAGAGTCTATCTTTTCTGACCATCCAGGCTTGGAGCAGAAAACCGTCCACCTCTCAGACCAGATTGCAGAGATGAAGAGGAAGATGGAGACAGAGTTTCAATCTCTGGTTGAGATGGAGAGAGAGAAGGAAGGGATGACAGCGAATCTTGAGAAGAAGGAAGAGCAGATTACATCCTTGATCTCTGACCTCCAGCAAGCAGCAGATTCAAAGGTCAAACTCGAGGTCAGTATCTTACAAAGTGATATCTCAAAGTGACTCAGTAACTTTGTCTCAGATTCTAAATAAAATCCTGGAGTTAGCTTAATATGCTGCAATCATAATTATAAACCTATAGGACAGTCAGGAATCCCATGACTTTTAAAAGTCAATCGCCTGTCTGATTATCAAGATATTTATGAGTGAAAATCAAAATTTCATTTTCATAACACTACAGTCAATTGAGTATGGTAAAATCAGTCACTCAAAGATTTTGACTTTTTTTGAGGCACTTCATGATCATTTTGAAGCGCATTTTCTTAGGGCTTCATTATTTCACCATAGGCACTGATAACACGTCGAGCCATGTATCTCAGATTTGTGAAACTGGAAACATTGTTAAACGATGCCTTTAAATAATTTGTGTATAGCTAGAAAGTATAAAATCAAATTTTACCTGGCATTCTATGGGCTAATGGTATAAAGAGTATGAAGGAATTGAAGAATAACATATAACCCCTGCATGGAACCCAAGTCAGACTTGTGTTCCATGTGGGTCCTATTCTGTTCCTATAGAAAAGTTTGTAGTTAAGTTTGTTACATGTGACCCCCAAGTATTCACATTGATGGACGTCCCACTTTGTTTATTTTAAATTAAACATCACTAAAGTGATGGAGGTGCTTGAATTCATTTTGTTTGCCCTCTTGAGACGAGTACTTCCACCTGTGTATCATAGAATGTACCGTAGTTGTAGTTCAGCCTGTTGCAGTTGTAGTTGATATGGTGTCATCTTTAGAAACATTATGAATATTGCCCCTTTCGCATATGGCTCACATACACCTGTACCCAGTCACTAACAACATTATGTTTCCCACTATCATTTGTCCTGTCTAGAGCACAATATCAGAATTGAAGGAGAGTATATCAGAGCTGACTGAAGGCAAGCAGAAGGCCGAGGCAAACCTTGAGATGCTTCAGATGGATCTAGATCAAGCCATCTCCCAGATGGAGAACCAAACCTCTATATCTGCGGCAGAGAAAGCAGACCTAGAGTCGACCATCAAGAACAGGGAAAGAGAGCTGACGGACCTTGCGCAGAAATGCCAAGAGAAAGAGGAAGAGATTACCAAACTGGGTGAAGAGTTACAGGAGAGGACCAGGGTTGTTGAAAGACTTGAAGGAGAGGTGTCAGAGAAGGGATATAAGATTGAATCCCTTGAGGCGACGGTTGGACAGAAGGATCGAGAGTTGGATATGATGAATGAAGGACAGAGTGAAGAGGGAAGGAAGAACGAATCTAAGATGTCTTCGCTGCTCCAGCAGATCGCAGAGCTTGAGACGGAGCTGATGAGCATTCAGAGAGGTCTTGATGAGAAGGAGAAGCTGGTGGAGAACCTACAGGAAGAGGTAGAGAAGGCTAGGAATGAGCTGCAAAAGAATTCTCAAGATGCCACTGAGAACCTAGAAAAGATCTCCAAGCAGTTGGAGGAGAAGGAGAAACATGCAGGCTCCTTGCAGGAGCAGCTCCTGGATTCCTTGAAGCTTGTACAGGACAAGGAGAACTCATACCAGGAGCTCCTTAAAAGAGAGAAGGAGGAGTCCTCTGAGATTCAGATCAAACTGAATCAAGAAGTTTCTGGTCTCAGGGATAACCTAGAGACATCTCAGAAAGAAGCGGCCGACTTGAAGATGAGGTTAGAAGACACTCAGAAGCAGAAGGAGCAACTCTCTGAGAAGATAATAACGGATGTAGAATCATTGCAAAAAGCCTCAAGTAACAAGGAGGAAGAGATGAATCAAGCTAGGTTGGAGGCTGAAAGGGTGTCAGAGGATTTGACTAACAAGCTCCAAGTATCCTCCAAAGAAAATGAACAGTTCCAGGAGAGGGTTAAGAAATTAGAGGTAGAGTTATCAGAGCTAGGAGAACAGCTTTCTCATCAGGAAGAGATAGTTGCTTCTCTAGATGTTGACAAGAAACAGCTGGAGGAAGCACTTGGGTTGAAAGACCAAAACCTTATGATGATGAGAGTGAAGTTGGATGAAACGATGCAACAAAATCAAGAACAAGATCAGAACATCCAGGAAAGAGATGTCACAATATCCTCCTTAAAGGAAAAACTTCAGGATGCTGAAGAGAAGTCTTCCAAATCTGAAGAGAATATGAAATTGTTGGAAGAAAAGCTTGAATCTTGTTTGAAGGATCTGGAAAGTCTTAAAGATGCAGTCGCACAAAAGGATAATCTAATCACAGATCTGCAGAAAGATGTTGAGGAAAGATCAGCAGAAATGAAAAGACTGGTAGACACTAATCATGAGACGGAAAGTATTTCCCAAAGACAGGTGCAAGACATTCAGAATCTGCAAACAAACATTAATGATAAGGACAATCAATTAGTAACCCTGCAGGAAAGACTGCAAGAAATGAAGGAGGATGATGATACAAGACTTGCCTCTATGCAAGGGAGACAGGATGAGAAGGAGAGAGAATTCCTGAAGTTGAAAGAAGAGATGACTGAGCTACTTGAAAAGAGCAGAGAGGATGCAAATGAGGAGAGAAAAGAGAAGGAAAGGATCGGCCAAGAAAAGGACAGCATCGTTATGGAGAAGGACAATAGAATTAGAGAGATAGAGGCAAAGATTGAAGAACTAATGGCAGATGAGAGGAAGCTGAAAGAGGAAACCGAGAAAATTGCCAAACAACTTTTAGATGGTGCAGAAGAAAGGGATCAGATGCAGAAATCATTAGAAGCTGTCTGCAGAGAGAAAGAGCAAGTCCAGGAAGAGCTCACTCTAGCCAAAGATCAAATCACTAGCCTACACCAGGTGCTAGTGGATAAAGAAGATGAAGTAGCTCAAGTGAGACGGTCCTTAGATGAAAAAGAGAAGCAAAAACAGGAAGAGGTTACAGTAATGCAGGAATCCCTTCAAAGAGCACAAAATGAAAAGACTGGATTTGAGAGCCATGTTGAAAAAGAGAAGACTACATTGCAGGAATCACTGGATTCACTTAGAAATGAACTTCATGATAAGAATACTGCCATGAAGGAGATAGAGGAGAAGTTGATAGAAAAGGAAACTGCCCAGAAATCTTTAGAAGAAAGGTTAGCCGAGAAATCTGATATTGTAGAACAGTTGACTCAAAAGGTCATTGAGAACGAAGAAGTTTCAACACAAGAACTTCAAAGGCTACAAGAGAAGCTAAGGTATGCTGAAGAGGAAAAGGACAAGGTGGCTGTTGAGATGGAGCAGGAGAGAGGACAACTTCAAGAACATTTTAACCAATTAGAGATGGAGAAACAGAGGATATCAGAGGAGTTGGAGCAGAGGAAAGCAGCTCTTGAAAGAGTAGGAGTACAGCAGGCAGATAGGGAGCAGCTCTTTAATGAGGAGCTGAGCGCTATTCAGGCAGACCTCGTTCGTAGTCAGGAGGAAAGGAGAGAAGCAGAAGCAGAGTTTGAAGAGAAGCAGACAACCATGGAGAGCAGATTGAATGAGAAAGAAGGAGAAATGGCAACCCTAACGGATGACTTGGACCTATTCAAGAAAAAGATGGAGAAGCTTAGTCAGGATGCAGATGAGAAGGAAAGCAATCTGCAACAGGAGTTGACTTCATTGAGGGGATCCATGGCTAACAGTAGTGGTGAGACAGCAGAACTTGTCAAACAGATTACGGAGAGAGACCAGAAGATCAAAGCTATGGAGGAGGACTCTTCCTCCAAGAAGGAACAACTGGACAAACGCATCCAAAACCTGAAAGAGAAGCTCAAGAAGGCCGTAGTCAAAGTCAAAGAATTGAGTAGCACCGTAGCTGAGCAGTCCACAAGGATAGAAGAGTATTCTACAAAGATAGAAGAACAATCCACTGTAATAGACGAACAGACCACAACAATAGAGGAAGCAGAGAGAAGGCTTAGTAAGAAAGAAGTTGTGGAAGAGCGGCTTCATTCCCTCACCCAGGCAACAGAAGAATACCAGCAGAAGTTGGATAAGATGAGACGAGAACTTGAAGAGCGAGATCTAGCTGTCCAGTCTCTGAAGGATGTTATGATGTCCAGAGAGGAAGACGTCAATGCTCAATCTGAGATGTTGGATCGTAGTCTGGCTGATGTCAATGAGAAGGTTGATGCCTTGAACGCAGAGCTCCAGCAGCGGGATGAGGTCGTCCAGGACCTCCAGACGATTTTAGCAGAGAAGGAATCGACCTTGGAGGGGTTGAGCCAGAGCTTTACAGAGAAAGATTCCTTGATCCAAAGCCTCCAGGAGGAGATCGCATCTCAGAAGAACAAGGCGGAGGAGATGATGCAGACAGCACCCGGAGATGAAGAAGATGGAGGATCAGGGAAGAAGGATGAGATTGTGAAGCTGAAGCAGGAAATAGAGCAGGGAAAACAGAGGTATGGTAAGCTCCTTGCAAAAGCCAAAGATATGAAAACAAAGTTTGAAGTCGCCAACCAGAGAAACCGAGAATTAGAGGCGGAGGTTGCGAATCTTCAACGAGAGCAAGAGGAGAGGGGGATTGCCGTCCAGCAGAGAGAAGAGGAAGAAAGTTCAAGGAGAGCTGAAGAAGGGGAATCAAAGGAGGAGCTCTTAGAGATCTTGAGGAAGAACGATGAACTTCAAGCGCAAGTCTCTGATCTTCAAGCGCAAGCCTCTGAACTTGAGAGACTCGTTTCTGAGAATGAATCAGTCTTACAGAACAAAGCCGCAGAGCTACAGGACACAGCCGCAGAGCTACACAACACATCAGAGGAGCTCAAGCATTTGAGGGAGGCTTTATCTCAGAAAGAAGCAGAGATGGGTGATGAAGAGGAGTGGAAAAGGAACATGATGTCGTCCTTAGATGACAAAGAAGCTGAAATTAATCAACTTAAATCTGAAATACAAGACAAATCCATGCAACTGGATGAAGCTATTAGTGAGTTGGACAATGTGACTAAAATACTGAGTGAGAGGGAAGGAACAAGCCAACAGCGACTTGCAGAGCTCCAAGAAGTTGTATCAGCAAGAGAAAGTGATATAGAACGACTGGAAGCAATAGCATCAGAGAAGGAAGACCTGGTGCAGAGATGTCAAGAGAAAGAAGATGTCTTATCCAGGTTGACCCTTCAGTTGGAAGAACAGGCAACTAAGTTTGAAGAAATGGAGAAGCAGCTGGAGCATATGACTGAAGGATTCAGGTCAAGTTTGGATCATTCTGAAGCAGAGCTTGGCAAAGCTAGGGAAAGTTTAGGATTGATGGAAGCAGAGGTTGGACGACTCCAGCAGGAGAAAGAAGATATTCTGGGTAAGATGAAGGCAGAGAATGCTGCATTGATGGAGAAAGAAGGAACCTTGCAGGAGCAGATTGATGAAAAGAGATAATGACGATGAAACTTGATGAAGCGAGGCATGAGACGGCTCGACTTACAGGAGAGAACGGTGAGATGAAGAGAGAACTGGAGGAGCTTCAGGAAGAGAGGACCATCCTGAAGGAGACGGAAGGAGCCTTGGTAGAGCAGATGAAGGAGATGGAGACATCCATGGATGCACACAGAGACCTGGAGGCTGCACTTCATGGAGCTAAGGAGGAGCTGGCTCGGATGGAGCAAGAGAGGGAGGCAACCATGAATGAAGTGAGTATTCATTCTCTCAATTACAGTCATGTCAAAGAGACATGAGAAAGATCCATGAACAATTATCAGTTCATCAGGCCTTTCCCTAAAGTTACAATAATATCAAAGTTTTAATCAAACATAATCAAGAACGCAGTTGAACTCACTGCTGCAAATTTAAGAAAGAGAAACCAAATTTCCATGGTCTTATATCTTTGATAAAAATTAAGTCTAAATCTGAATATGTAATTGCAGCCAAATATGGCAAGTTAAGCCTCCATTTTAAAAATTTTGTATTTGAGTTGTAGTGGACTATATGATGTTTTTGTCATTTCACATTCTTGTACATGATTGTAAATAGCCAGTTGGCTTTTATGTTATTTTTGAGTACCCAATAAAAAAAATTTTAAAAAAAAGAAAAAAAAGAACGCAGTTGAACCCTCTGAAAAAGAACCTAATTAATTTGGCTTTGAAATACAGAAATCAAAGTACCTTAGAATTAAGCTCATCGTTGCAATGCTCTTAAACGCAATACATGTCTACATTTGCCACACTCCACCCAGGTGAAGTAAATAGGGACCGGTAGAAAGGAATTCCTTGAATACTGTGAGCACCGAAATTGGTAACCTAGCAGAGCTAGGGTAATATTGGAGCGCTTTGAGCACCTTTCAGTGTAGATATGTGCGCTATATAAATATCCAATATTAATATTATTATTATGTTGATATGGTTCTTACTTAACGGTAATGTATAAATAACCAGTAAAAAGGGACAAAACAGGAAGAGAGTGAGAACTCTCTTTGTCCCCTGTTTGATCCTTACACATTTCATTCTATTCTGAAGATAGAATATGTGCACATTTGCTCATTCTTGCAATTCACAAGTAGTCATATTCGTTATTTGTGTTCTTGTCATTATATCATTTTATATTTGTTTGTGTTTTTATTTATTTTCTTCGTCAGGTTGCCCAATTAGCGGAGGCCTTGAAGAAAGAGCAGAGTCTGAAGGTTCGAGCTGAGCAGAGGAGCGAGAAGCTCAAAGAACAGCTTCAGAAGATGAAAGAAGCCAAGCGAAAGCTTTCGACAGACATGGAGACCCTGAGGCAAGAGAAGGAGGACACGACTACTAGCATCGTCAAACGAGAGATGGATCTAGAGAGTCGTATGGGTGCCATGCAGAAAGAGGTTGAGATCTTGAGGTCATCGAGTGACGATAGCAAGCAGGAGCAGTCATCCCTGGAATCAGAAGCTGCTCATCTGAAGCAGGAATGTCAGAGACTGACCAAGGAGGGAGAGGATTTGAAGAGAGAGAGCGACTTATTGAGGAAAGTTGTAGAAGAGTCAGGCTCACATCTGGATAAGGTGAGGAATGAGGGGGAGGGGCTTAGGAAGGAGCTTGATGGATTGAGAGGTCAAAGGGCAAAGTTGGTGGATGAGAACCAGCACATGAAAGCAGAGGTGAAGAGGTTATTGGACGAAGATGAAATCAATAAGGTTGAGTTGGAAGAGCTGAGGACAGGGTTGAAACTTGCTAAAGAGAAGGGAGGCAAGCTAGGAAGCGAACTTAAAGAGTTGGTGAAATCAAGAGGAAAAGAAGGTGATGGTTTGAAGGAGAAGTTGAAGTCAGTCGAGACAGAGTTGGAAGCACAGCAGAAACTATGGGAGGAGAAATATGAGACGGATGTCACTAGGTACGAGAAGAAGGTTGCGGAACTGACGGATGAGTTACGCAAGGTCAACGATGAAGTGATTAGTGTGAATGTAGAGATTAAGAAGCTTACGTCGGAGCGTAACTCTCTCAAGGTCATGAACTCTGAACTTGATAGTACACTTACAGCCGCTGCAGAGAAACTTCAGGACGCAGATATAGCCTTGAAAGAGGCGAAGACTGAGGTCACAGATCTCCAAGGGCAGCTTGAGGATTTGAACGGTTCTAACGAGGGTTCTGAGCAGCTCCGGGAACAGAAAGCCCAGCTGGAGTGGGATCTAACGGGTCTCTCTCAGGAGAACCTAGATCTTCAGGAGGAACTCGAGAACTGCCACCTTGAGATTGACGAGGTCGGACAGGAGATGAGAGAACAACGGGAAGAGAAGAAGAAGATGGAGAGGAGGATAGCTGAGATAGAGGCATCGGGAAGGAATGAGATCCAACGTCTTGGTGACAAGATGTCCTCGGATATGAAGGCGATCCAGGAGGAGAAGACATCCGTCGTCATGGAGATGCAAGCTCTGCAGACACGGTTTGAAGATGCCTTGAATGATGGCAGCATACTGAGAGAAGATGGAGAGACATTGAAGGTAACATGATCCTCTAATGCCTCAGTCACACCTTTGCATATTTGGCTTGTGTATTTATGGCAAGCAGTTTTAACATTTATTCCTATTTCATGATATCAAGAATTACCATTGCTTTACAACAGAAAATCATTTCTTGATATCAAGAAATAGGAATTAATATTTAAATGGCTTGCCATAAATACACAGCAATACGCAAGCCAAATGCGCAAAGGTGTGACTGAGGCATAACTTTGCAGGAAACATGTCATTGCAAATGTATTGCCTAGATACAATGTACATCCCAAAAGTATTGCAAGCAAGAAACTTTCCCTAATGAAGAATTACAAAAATGGCCAGCGTTAAAGTTTCTTTATAACCATTGTGAAATGACCACAAAACAACTTTTAAATAACAAATATTCATATATATGTAGTTCCGAGGCTATAAAATCTGGTCAAAAATGACCCTTTTTCATAACAAAACAGCCCATGTATTTACTCATTCGTCTCCCAGCCATTCTAGCAATACTGTATTGTTGTAAAAATGTTCAAGTCAATTCAATTCTCATTTATTTCATTCTCGATTAAAAATTTTGTTTATACAAAAGATACAAAATAATTCATAAACAAATTTAGAAAATGAAATGGGGAACTACATAAATAAAGCCCTTGGGCCTTGTACAAGCGTAGTTCCCAAAGCATTCATAATGTAATGTAATGTTGCAACTTATTGGGTGCAATAAGTTTTAAGACTTGTTTGTTTTTGACTCCAAACAGGAAGAGAATGCTAGGCTCCAGGAGGAAGCGGTGGTTGTTTCTAAGCAACGAGATGAGTTAAAGGATGAAGTGGTGGTATTGTCTTCCAGATTACTTGGTATAGAGCAACAGTTAATGGAACAAGGCACTGTGGATGAGAGGTGGGTTTTATTCTGTGTATATCATATTATGTACCTAAGGCATCGTTTAACAATATTAAATCAGTGTCTGTGATATGGTGTAATATTGAAGCCCTAAAAAAATTGCGCTTCAAAATGATCATGAAGTGCCTCAAAAAAGTAAAAAATCTTTAAGTGACCGGTTTTACCATACTCATTTTCCCCAATGGACTGTAGTGTTATAAAAACTGTTAGGAAAACGCAAAATTTGATTTCGATTTCCAATCATAAATATCTTGATAATCAGATAGGAGATTGGCTTGTAAAAGTCATGGGATTCCTGACTGATCTAAAGGTTTATAATTACGATTGCCGCATGAGCTAAATTAAGGATTTTTTTAAAAGGATCTGAGACAAAGTTACCGGATCCCTTTAAGTTGAGACCTAGGATCCTAAAGATCTGAAAAGATGCTCCCTCTACGAATGACAAATTGTGCTGTAAAAATTGGCTCTTAGGAAACATCACCTTTGCTGAAGAATATCTAGTAAAGAGCTCTTGCCTGTAACTTTTTCCTTAATTTCTTGATATGTGGATTGATTAGTTAGAGAATATTTTACTCCTATAATTGTTTGCTGCCATGCAGAAACTGTAATTTATTACAATATACCATACTTACAACACAAATGGGTCTCTATGTGCTTCAATAAGTGAGAGTAATTCAGAGATATGAGTTGGATAGGTTCAACACATGTTCTTGAGTCATCAAGCTAGTACTAAAAAGCATTTGTCAGCAGAATAGTGTATTGTAAAGTCAGAAGATGTATTACAAAGTTACTCTAAGTTGTTTGGTGTTTTTGTATCATAGGTTGCAGAAACTTCAAAGTTCTGAACAGAAAATGAGAGAAGACCTTGCCCGGTCAGCTGAAGAGAGAGATAGAGCATTACAAGGGATCCATCAGAGGGAGATACGGTAAGAGAGATAGAGATTGATTGAATTGATTGAAAATGTTTTATTATGATTGTACTTCGCAGCCAAATGGCTGAATTATACAATTTATATTGGCAATAATACATACAAATGTGGTTTGAAAATAGGATCAACTTTGATATTAAAAAACAAGATGCCATTTGCACAAGTATAATATATAAAACAAAATTCATGACCAACATGACCAAGGCAATAACAGACAAAAGGTAGAAGACAGAGAAAAGGGGCAAATGAGATTAAGGTATATTTTGTAAGGTGAACAAGAGTGGGGATAGCAATGAAGAAAAAATAAAAAGATGATTATTTCCATGTACAGATTTTGTGTGGATTTCAGGGTCATAGACATTATCTTATGTTGTTATTAGGTGATACACACTCATCCTATTCATTACTGGAATCTTCTCTGAGGTGTGAGCAAAAGCTCAGAAACATTACAAAATTGAAAGATTATCTTTGAATGCATAAAGGCTAACATGACATGTACAATATGAATCTAAAGGATAACAAATATTTTGTAAATGTATGCCTACAAGTCAATCATTATATCCAGGATATTAATAAGTAAAAAATTATATTCTATCATTTTACAACTATAATCAGGTTGGGGGGGGGGGGTATTTTTACTCAGAGATTTGAAGAAATCCTTACAAATCCTTCAATTGATGAATAGTAAAAAAAAATAATAATAATAAAAAAAAATGAAAAAAGTGTAAACATGTAGATGAAGCCTATTATTAATATTCATCAATCTGTTCATTTTTGTTTATATGTTTAGATGTGAAACCTTGACACAGCGGGTTGCAGGTCTGGTGGAACAGAACAAGAGTATGAAGGGTCATCTGAGAAACATGGAACGTAACGTCAAAGACATGGAGCGTCACATCACAAGTCTGGAAGATGATAAGACCGCCCTCTTGAGGCAGGTTGAGGAGAAGGAAATCAGCGTTAGTAGAACAATGGTGAGTACTCTGTCTGCTCTTATGAATTTTAAAATCCAATTAATATATGCATTACTTCTGGATTCTTACATGTACTTGTATGTGTATTTTGCTCATATTCATAAAAATAGAAATTTGACTGTCACAAATATGACATAAAATGTTTGTGACAAATACAAGTCGCTCCTCGGTGTAATGCCCCTATTTGGGATAGATGACCCTTACACCTATCTTGTCATCTCTCTCTCGTTCTCGTTCTCTCTCTCTCTCTCTCTTTCCCATCCTTCCTCCCTCTCCCCTTCTCTTTTCTCTTTCTCTTTCTCTATCTTCCCTGTTCCTTCCTTTCTCTTCATGAACATCCTGTAAGCTTTAAAACAAGACAGTTATGTTCTTCTACATTGAATCTCTAGGTTGAAGAACTACCAATGGTTATAGAGGAAGCCATGGTCCAGCCCTGACCTGTGATCCTCTCCCTCCCCCCCCCCTCCCCTCCCCCCCCCCCACCTCTCTCTCTCTCTCTTAATCCTCACAACCATTCTATATACTTTGAGATAATAACAACTTCTTATTTTTGTTATCCTTCTACTTCCAGGTTGAAGAACGTCCAATGATTGTAGAGGAGGCCATGGTCCAGCGTAGCGCCCCAGTCCAGGAACAGATGACCCTACCCCCTGCCCCCATCCAGGAACAGATGACCCTTCCCCCTGACCTCCCTCCTTCGGGTCATGGGGTCATGGAAGAAGAAGTCACAATGCTCAAACAGAAGTAAGAGACTAATTAACCCATAAATTGAAATAAAAGATTAGTTTAAATAGAAGTAAATTCATTCATATTTCTTTATTTAAAAAAAAAAAAAAAAAAAAAAAAAAAATATTTATGAGTCCCCTCCCCTCATTTTGAATTGTCTCATACCCAATAGTAAACCTGAAATGTTTTAAGCACAAATTTTAACATAAATAATAATAATAATGGGCATTTGTATCGCAGTCTATCTAGAAATTCTATTCCGAGATGCACCTATTATTACCCCGGCTTTAGCCTGGCTGCCATTACAGCACTCCAGCATTTCAAGGAATTTATTTCTGCCAGGTATTTTAAACTTATGTCAAGTTAAACATTTTAGCAGTAAATACAGTGATAACCTTCAGGGATAATGTAAATACCAAGTCTATTTTAGGTCTTCTTGTAAGGTCTGTTCAAACCCTTTATATTCTTTATTTGTCTACTCTGTTCACAGGTTGGAGAGTGTTGAACAAGAGAGGGCGATGCTCGTTAAAGAATGTGCACAAACAGAGGTAGTTGTATTTAAAAACGTTTCTAACAAAACATCCATTTTTTAACATGTAAATAAATGGTAAGTGGGGATGAAGGGAAATAAGTTGTGTGCAACGAAGATCCTACGCGTACTTCTAACTGGGTGTTTTTATGACATAGATATGTGAAATGTAAAGTTTGTAATGCTTACATCATATTCAACAAAAGGTGTGGCCATTTACTGCAACATTTGTTGCAGTAAATGCACCGTAATGGGGGGAAAATAATACACCGTAATAGGGGGAAATAAGAAAATTAATTTGAAAACTAAACAAAAACATTAAGAAATATGAAAATATATCCCTCTATTGAATATCAGAGGATTGAGAGTAGGGCTTGGCTAACTGAGTTAACTTCTCACATATCTTAATGAGTGAAATCACTGAATTGCTTCCATTTTATTCAAACTAAATGCTGTAGAAGTTCATAACATAAAATGTTGGGGTGCTTTAAGGTGAAATCGAACAGAAGTCTTCTACTACACCATTTTTGTACGGATGTATAGCTATGCTCAGCTGTGCCTTATATTAAGAGCACAGCTATTCTACCAAGGGATCCGTATAATCAATATGATTTGTCTTTTATTCCTTCTTGAAGGCATCTTTACGTTATGAGAGAGAGCAGAGGGTCTTTGCAGAGGATGCGTTAAATAGCACCCAGGATCGTCTACGAGAACAGAAGAGAACATCCCACCATCATCATCCCTCGTCATCCTCATCATCGATCAGGAAGGAATACAGCCTGTATATTGATTCTGATGACGAGGACACTCAGCTGATGGTCAAGGCATACAAAGCTGGACATCATCTGAGTGAGTAAACTTTGGCTGTTTTTATTTGATGATTATGATGGTGATGTTGAATCTGATTGTGATGGTAGTAAAAGTGTGTCACTATTATTATAAGTGTTGTGATGATATTGTCAACATCTTTAGTGAGTAAACTCTTTTTTTGTTTGGTTCAGTGAAAATAATTGTAATATTGTAAAACTAGAAACATTTGTGAATTGTTAAGTTGTCCCTTTTCCAAGCAAGACTTTCACAAGTAGCAAGAGTAACTGTTTTATCAACTGTGATTCAATTATTTGTGGCATTCACTGTTATGAATGTGAATCATTATGAAATCTGTAAATGTTTCATTTACACAATTATTTCTAGTTTTGCAGTAATTACAAGTGTTTATAAATGATTACATGGTGAAAGTAAATCTGGACATCTCAAAAAGTTCAATATCTAACTTGTACATCATTTACTGTGGTACTACTACAATAGTCGATGAGAAGAGCTTAAATGTATCGTTTCTCTTTATCTGTTTATAGCTCGTCATGGTAACACAGTGGCCAATAAGCTGAGGAGGTGTTTCAAAGGCAGAGGGTGAGTGCAACAATTCATCTTTAAAATACTTTCATCTTGGAAACAATTATTTCAAAACATTCAAACATTACATCACATCTTTGGATAGTTTGTCAATTAAGACAGAATCTCTTTTACCCAGGATCTAGAAGAGTCTAGATTCAATTAATTATTAAGGTGTTCTTTAAAGCCTGTCTGCACTACTTGTATCTACTTGCGCCCTCTACAGGTATATAGCCAACAATGCCTGAGTGGTACCTGTTGATCCCCCATTGCCCCCTTTTGCTTATGTTAATTGAGAGCTGATTTGATGAGATAACCACCTGTCAGTGACCACGCAGGGAGGTATAATCCCTCCTGGCCAAGCTAGTGCAGATAGGCTTTAAAAGTGGATGATGGGTTGGTCGGTCAAGTCTAGAGAATAATAATTTGTTAGTTATTTGTAATGATATGATTTTCAGCAAAATCTGGTTGAGAAACTTCACTGTCTTATTGTACCTTTTTTCTTTAAATAGGTGAAGGGTAGGACACTCAATTCTTTGATGGTGAATAAATGCTAAAATAATTTTTGTATGAAATATAGGAGCATTTTTTTATGTTAAAATGCTTCTTTTTGTTTGTCTTTTCTCACAGAAGCTTCATGCGTGCAGTGCCTAGTGGTATTCAGCCAAGGTCTCTCATGGTGTTATATGCTGCAGCTATCCATATCTTCCTCTTCTATGTCCTAGCGTTCCATTGCTAACCCTGGCACTTCAAACGTATTGCCTCTCGTCACCCAGGTGTGTAAAGTAAATGAGAACAGCTAATCCAGGCACTTCAACCGTGTTGCCTCTTGTTACCCAGTGTAAAGTGAATGATAGAGGACATTCTTAGCTAATTCATGTTGCGTTGTGCATTGCTGCAGAGATTAATATCTTCCTCTTCTATCTACTAGCGTTTCATTACTAAACCAGGCACTTCAAAGTCATTGCCTCCCCTTATCCAGGAGTGCAAATAAGTATGAGGTGTAGAGGTGTTGTGGTTGAGTAGATACGTCACCAGACTGTCGATCACAAGGTCCACGGTTTGAGTCCCGTCGCGGTACTAAATGTCCTTTGGCAAGACATTTATCTACATTTGCCACACTCAACCCAAGTGAGGTAAATGGGTACCTGGTAGGATTATTCCTTGAAATGCACTGTGCACTGATAAGGCTGCCGGAGCTAGAGCTAGGGTAATAAATTTCAAAGCTCTTTGGAAGCGCATAGAGATGTTATTTCATAACGTATTATGCGCTATACAAGAACTAAACTATTATTTCAAATGAGCTGTCGCAGCTGTAGAGGTAGACTGGAGAGTCAGACAAAATGGTATTCCTTGATGCCTCATGGAAGATAAACGAAGAGAAGATAGGAAACAGCTTCAGATCCAGCTTACTAGTGCATTGCTGTAGAGATCTAATGTGCACTACACACAGGTTAAATCATCATAGGATAAGACTTGAATAAGATGGACATACAATGTGCTTGCAAAATGTAATCCAGAAATATATAGGCTCAGAAAAAGAAGTGGATGCTAACTCGTTCTGATTCATTCCTTACGAATGCATGTGGATTATAAATGATGGCCTTCACTTATATATATATATATATATCTATATATATATATATATATATATATATCTATATCTATATATATCTATATATTCCTCATAATTTTTATACTATCATGAATGTTAACAAAGGGCATCCGCATTTGAAAATGTGAAAATTGTTACATTGTGTAAACGTACATTGTACATTGTAAAGTGCTTTGAGAGGGCCTTTGGTCCTGAAATGCGCTATAAAAGAACAAACTATTATTATTGTTATTATTGTTAATATAAATAGAATATCTTTAAGCCATTGGTGATAGGAACCGGTTTGCTCCTGTAGGAAGAATATAGGAATGAAAGAATTTAGTAGTCAATGGGCTTGCTAATTAATTTTCTGTTATATTTGAAAATTATTTGGTGCATTTTAGCAGTGCAGAAAATTGAGTTTTATGAAATGTTGAATAAATAATGCTTACATTTAATTACTGCAATATTATATGAATATAGGCAGATAATCTTCATTATAGTGTATTCAAAATGTGCAATTGCCAATGTATGACTTAAGTTGCTATAATTTCATGATATAAGTTGAGTTTGATAGTTCTAACTAGAAATACAAGTTCAATTAAATGTAAGGTTCCTCCTTCATTGCCTAATGGTATTTTTCTTCCTTTAATCCCTCAATATACTCATGTACCAAATCTGGGCTGTGCCAAATTCCATGACAATTTTTTTCACAGCCAATTAAATGCAGTTATTGTGACTTATATAACAAGTTTTCTGAAATGGGGTCATGGTTGAATAATCACTCAGTTATTATTAGATTTAGAATTCCTTTAAGGCTTAGTTTCTAGGTATATTGGCTTAAAATTATAGCATTTAATCGTCTATATATCAACAAAATTGTTATGATAACTGCTGTATTATTTTATTTTAATGCACTATAGCCTATTGTTGAATTAGAACATGATTTTAATGCCATTTTTAATCATTTATCTTTTAATCACACAATAGTTTTTTAATTAATGTCAAATTATTTTTTGTATGTGTTTCACTGTCTCCTATTGTTTTGTTACTTTAGTTTTTCTTCTTTTAATGTAATGGAGTTAGAGGGTTGAAAAATAGATTAATTATTTTGGCCAATTTTGACAAATCTCAAATAGTAAATAAATTAGAGAGAGAAATATCTTCCCAGTCTACCAGAATATCAAAATTATTTTTGTTAGAAATTTCAAGTCCATTTGAAGAAGATTACAGATTGTTAATTTCATTAACGACCTCCTAAATGCACCAACAAAAGTGTTTGAAATATTTCCACCAAACCATGGCATACAGGCGAGTATACACATTGTAGAAATCAATAGTGTAGATGCAGAATTGCTTTATAAGGTATGAAATGAAATAGGTATAAGAGATAGTATTCTTGTATCATAAAATGTTCCTATTATGTGATGAAATATTTACTTCTGTAGAATTAGTGAATGGAGAAGATAGTTGTGTAGTGATGAATTTTATTTACTTTTATTCCAATAAAGAATTATCTCAGTATAAGATGTTGCAAAATTATAATGATTATTAATATGGCAATCCATGCTATTTGGTCATTCGGTGATCCATACATTACAAAGTATTGTGGAGTTGTGGACAAAAATGGACTTCAATTATGTCAGTTTACCTCATATAATGCCTGATATCTGCTTTCAGTAGGGCTATCAACTTGATACATTTATCAGATAAATTGAAATTTTAGTAGCAGTTGGTAATGTTTGGGACAAAATGCATGTAGCTTTGAATTGCCTGATAACATAAAAAGTAAATCTTCTTGTCAATTATCAAATGGATTTGAAAGGATTTTTTTCTTCTTTAAGCTAACAATCTTGGATTGGTTATGAAAGGCTGGTCTGGAACCCAAATACTTAGTATAAAATATTCAAGTTCTAACTACTTTCCAATTATAGGTATTTATTATTATTTGTATACCGGTAGTTAAGAACGTAGTTTTCTTCGATCAAGCTATATTCAGACTATTTCTAAAAACTTATTTGAAACCCATTCGAAAAGGTGGCAGACCTCACAGATTGTAATGCATGCATGTATGAATGTTATAAACTCACATTGCCAATGGTATGAGATGCAAACCTATAGTGATAACTGTAAAGACGAATAAAGGAAATTATACTTGAGAGCAGAATTTATGGTCAATCAATAGATGCTGTATTCCTATGGAATACTTGAGAGCTGTAGTCAAAGAAATAGTATGGGAAGATTCAAAAGTACTTTGAAGATGTTACTGTATGAATGCATATAAAGAGAAGAGAAATATTAAAGATATTTGATAATAAAATAATTGTTATTGCGACTTTGTACAATACGTATCTCTGCTGATACATGATACAACAAAATCCCCTTTCTTCACTTCAGTCATTCTCGTTTTATACTCCCTCCTCTCATCCTCTTTCTCTTAATAATTCTTCCTCTTATACACCTAACTCCCTCATGAATCTTCCCCTGCTTTCTATCATACCGACATTCTTTATATTTGTTTAGGGAGATGGTTGTGAGTTACCATGAGGGGAAACGGATGAAAATTGAATTATTTTCTGAAAAGTGAGGTATAAAAGAACAAAATGTGGAGGGTGGAAATGAAAGGAGGTGAGAATCAAAGATGAAACAGGGTTAATGAGGTCACAGAATGGTTTCAAGAGTAAGAGGGTTGAGAAGGGGAATGGGGCATGTATTAGAGGGTAGTAGAAGCAAGGTGGTAGAGAAGGGGGATTGGGCATGTATTAGAGGGTAGTAGAAGTAAGGTGGTAGAGAAGGGCAATGGGGCATGTATTAGAGAGTAGTAGAAGCAAGGTGGTAGAGAAGGGGAATGGGGCATGTATTAGAGAGTAGTAGAAGCAAGGTGGTAGAGAAGGGGAATGGGGCATGTATTAGAGAGTAGTAGAAGCAAGGTGGTAGAGAAGGGGAATGGGGCATGTATTAGAGGGTAGTAGAAGCAAGGTGGTAGAGAAGGGGAATGGGGCATGTATTAGAGAGTAGTAGAAGCAAGGTGGTAGAGAAGGGGAATGGGGCATGTATTAGAGAGTAGTAGAAGCAAGGTGGTAGAGAAGGGGAATGGGGCATGTATTAGAGAGTAGTAGAAGCAAGGTGGTAGAGAAGGGGAATGGGGCATGTATTAGAGAGTAGTAGAAGCAAGGTGGTAGAGAAGGGCAATGGGGCATGTATTAGAGGGTAGTAGAAGCAAGGTGGTAGAGAAGGGGAATGGGGCATGTATTAGAGGGTAGTAGAAGCAAGGTGGTAAAGAAGGGGAATGGGGCATGTATTAGAGGAGGAAATGCTAAGAGATGTAGAATAGTAGTAGTAGATCTATATAGAGCGAATTTTTTTTTCATTTCTTTTCACATGATATAAACAATGACGACTATAATAAACGCAATGATATAACAGAAATGAGCATTGAAATATCTTGGACATTGTTTTGGTCATTGAAATGCAAAACAAACCTATTTGAAAGCAATGCTTGTTAGGTGTAGGTTTGCACAATAATAATTAAACTTTATACATTTATAACTTAATTTTGAGAAAAAAATTACGGAATCAAAAAAACATGACAGACAATAAACTAGATGGAACTTCAACTGCGCGCAGTCGAAATGATGCCTCCGTCATAGAGCAATTTTACAAACAAAAACAGAAGAAATTTTTCAAATTCAAGTTCAATTGTAATCCATTAACAGTTTCTCAGAATATCGTGATTACAAGCAATTTCTCATATACATATATGACCCTTTGATCTTTGACCTCATGACCCTAACATCTACTCAGTTCATTGGCTCTACAAGATGTCCCGAGTTAAATAGTAATCCATTTGTCAGTTCTAATGAGAATGCGTTCACGAGCTATTTTTGCATACATAATGAGCCGCATGACCTTTGACCTTGACCTTATGACCCCAAAATCTAATCAGTTCATCGGCTCTGCAAGTAACATACATGACCTAATTTTGGCAGGAATCCATCAATCGGTTCTTCAGATAACGCGATCACGAGCTGTTTTTGCATACATAATGAGCCCTGTGACCTTTGACCTTTAAACTCGTGACCCCAAAATCTAATCAGTTCATCAGCTCTGCAAGATACATACATGACCAAAGTTTGGCAGGAATCCATCAATCGGTTCTTCAGATAACGCGATCACGAGCTGTTTTTGCATACATAATGAGCCCTGTGACCTTTGACCTTTGAACTCGTGACCCCAAAATCTAATCAGTTCATCGGCTCTGCAAGATACATACATGACCAAAGTTTGGCAGGAATCCATCAATCGGTTCTTCAGATAACGCGATCACGAGAACGGGACGTACGGACGGACGGACGTACGGACGTACGGACGGACGGACGGACAACCCGAAAACATAATGCCTCCGGCTACTTCGTAACGGAGGCATAAAAACAAACAATTAAACGAGACAAAAAACAAATCAGAAACAGTAGCAGAATGACAAGATAAGGATGATCATGAAGAAAATAAGAATGAGAGAGTGACAAACAGAAAAAAGGGGAAAACAGAAAGAAAAAAAGAAGACAGAGAGAGGGGGTAGAGGGAAACAGA